GAGGATTGCTTGAGCTGAGGAGTTTGAGGCTGCATTGAGCTAGGATTGTGCCACTGTACTCCAGCCTGGGTGACAAAGCGAGGCCCTGTCTCAGCTACAGAAAATCTTAGGTAAGGTTGTAGCCATGAAATAAGAACGTTAGACTACAAAAAAAGTTTGAGAATCAAAATGAACTCTTAAACATAGCAGAAATTTAATGATTACATTAGCGGGTTAGAAGATAAAGTTGAGGAAATTTGAAAAGCAGAAAAGATAAAATGTGAGTCAGTTTTTTTGTAGCTATTCCAGTAGACATGGGAAGATAGAAAATAAAGAATTAATGCAAGAAAACTTCCCAGACCTGAAGGACACGAGTTTATAGAATTAAAAGAAGAATTCACTTAACACAGAGCAAATGAATAGGAAGAGTTCACATCAGGGCACAAAAGAATGCAGTGTTGGAAGGCCAAGGCTAAAGATAAGATTTCAAATGCTTCAGGGAAAAGGTCACTTACAAAGGTGCAGGAATTAAAATACTGTCGTACTTCTTGCTGATAGTACTAGAAGCTAGAGGACAGTAGAGCATGTACCTTTGCAATAGCTAGGGAAAAAATGTCCAACTCAGAATTCTTTTTCTGTCTGAAACATCAGGTGAAGGGTAAATATAGGCTAATGACATCTCACATGCACACATTCTCTGCAGTCCTTATTGTCATAGCTGACACTTGTGTAGTGCTCACTCTCTGCTTCCCTTCAGTACTTTACAGCAGCAAAATGAGATGGACACTAACATTTCCCTGTTTTGTAAGTCAGGAAACAGGCATAGCGAAGTGAGTTCTCAAGGTCACATGGCTGGTCAGTAGTAGAATTGGGATTGGATCATGGGCAGTCTTGACTCAACCTGAGGATGTCCTCCACCCAAACAGAGATCCAAGAGCTGAGATCCACCACAGAGCAAGGTGAGAGGAATCCCCAGGTTGGAGGTGCAGGGATGCCATGCTCCAGGATCGTAGCAGTACAAGTGGGTCCAGGTTAGAGTAGATGGATGAAGGACTCCAGGAAGAAAGGGAAGAGGTTATATTCCCTGGTGTGTCTGATCATGTCCTGAGTGATGTTTGGGCATGCGAGAGTCGTCTCATGTTGGAGAATGGATTAGAAAAGCAAAAAAAAAAAGTATGAAAGGGGAGGTCATTAGCATATATGTTATGTAGCTTTGTTTTGAATGACATTTGTGTAGCCTTTCTAAGGTAAACCTTGAGTATTGATTTCACTAAGAATTGTGGTTTGGGAGTGTGAAGGAGAAAGTGCTTTTTCGGCGTGTGTGTGTATCTGTGACGCCAGTGGGCAGTGTAAGAGTGAGATCCTCTGCTTCACAGTAGGAAGTCAGGAGGTGTTACTAGCATCTGAGACAGAAAAACCAAGCACTGCCAGTATAGTATTTAGAAATATGGCAGTAAAGCCAGAGGAACTACTTAAAAGGTTTGAAAAGGGTTGCCTCTGGAGAGCTGGAATTAGGATTTGGGAAGAGCGAGGTAGAGGACTGTTACTATTTGATATAAGCATTGTATGATTTTTTTTTTATCTCAACACACAAAACCCTGAATTATCTTTGACTTTTTTCTTCCTGTCACAGCCCATATCCTGTCCATGTCAAAGGTTGATGGTTCTATATGCAAAGTATGTCTGGAGCCCGATCCCTTCTCACCACCTTCCCTGCTGCCACTGGGTCCAGCCACCATCTCTCATCTGGATTATTCCAGTGTCTTCTCTCTGGTCCCTGAGCTTCTCTTCTTGCCCCTCTCCAATTTCTTAGCAGCAGTCCCCAGACTGATTGAGTTCAGACACTGTCAGATCGTACATATTGCTCTCTTGTTCAGAGCTCTGCAGTGGCTTCCTAGTATACAGAGTCCAAGCCAGAGTCCTTCAGGTTGCCCCACATGTCCACACACCCCATTTCGCTGCTTTATTTTCTCCAAAGCAATTAGCATCGTTGAACATATTTTTTGTTTTCTATGAGTTTATCTTGTTTCTTGTGTCTTCCCTTATTACAATATAATTTCAGGAGGGTGGGATTTTTTTCTGACTTGTTCTCTACTTTATTCCCAGAGCCTAGAACAGTGTATATAGTAGGCACTGAATAAACATTTATTAGAGAAAGGTATTGCTTTATAAAAATAAACCAATTAAAAATACCACTAGTTTTTAAGCCATTTGCCATAAGCTAAGGTAAGCAGCTTTTTGTTCTACTGGCTTAAGCATCCTTAAGCAATTTGAACTGAAATCCTGAGGGGTCCAATTGAAAAGATTTGTTTCCATATGGAAAATAACCATATGCTGTCCTGAGATGACATACCTTCAAATATCTGTGCCATGTACTCTCAGACCTGTTGACAAAAATTTATCATAGTACTCTGTGGTAACTACTTATGACTCAAACGATTGAGTTTCACAACCTTTGGCAGCTAAGATCTCAGGCAGAGCACTAGTATATATTTTTAAATCACAGAATCTGCTTAGTGAGTATAAATAGGCATCACCCACTCATCTTCTGTACGGAACATACACCTAAGATTCCAGTTCTTCTAATGTGGGGAAAACCACCTCCCAGGCAAATTATCAGTTTGCCTTCTGCTTGCTCGTAACAGTTCTTGCCTTTCTTTGCTGCTGAGCGAAGCTATTTGTATTTCATCAGGGTGTTCTCTTGCTTGGCTTTGCCCTTCTTCTAACCTATGCCTTCAGGAACCTTCAGATGCCAAATTAGTGTTATCACCTGTATTTCCATGGCTACTGATCACAGTTCTGCATGCACATGATTAGAATTCACAGCAGGAGAAGCTGGATTATGTGAAGGAATGGTCTTTATCCCGAAGCAAATGCCTTATTACACAGGGAACAACAACAAAATAAGCAAAGTGAATCACGTGCACAAAAGCCTTTCTTCTTGCAAATTAGTTGAAAGATAACCTCCCTCCACACCCCTAATTTCTAAATCACATAATATGGGCAATCCTTGAATCCACAAAGTACTTTAAATACTTCACAGTCCTGTTTCTCTGATGTGGAATCTGTTAGATTATGGCTCCATTCATAGAAGTACGTCAGTTGTCCCTTTGCATCCCCAGGGGTTGGTTCCAGGACTGTGCAGATACCGAAATCTGAATGCTCAAGTCCCTGGTAGAAAATGATGTAGTATTTTCATATAATCTACACACGTCCTCCTGTACACTTTAAATCATCTTTAGATTACTTACAATATCTAACACAATGTAAATGCTATTTAAATAGTTATTATACAGTATTTACTTGTATTTTTTTTATTGTGTTCTTTTTTGTTGTTGCTGGTTTTTTTCCAAATATTTTCTAGCCAGGGTTGGTTTACTCTACGGATACATAACCCATGGTGATAAGTATTTGTGTTGCCTGCTTACTATGGGACCAATGAGATTTTGCAGGGATGTTTGTGGTGGTGTTTGTTTTGGTGATTTTACTGAGCTTAACAGTGTTAAGTTACATAGATTTCAGTAAGACCTTTGGCAAAGTCTTTCCTTGTAAACAAAGAAATGTGTGCATTAATGGATTACACAGTTAATAGGATTCATTGCTGGTTATAGACTTCTTTCCAGGACTGTTTTGGAGAGAGCTTGATCATGGCTGTCTCAGGTCTCTGTCCTTGCCCTGGCCTGTTTGCGAAGAGTATTGAGTATTTGGATAATGACTTAGCAGACGTGTTTACTGAGCGAACATGTTTACTGAGTGGTGGATGAGAAAGCTAAGAAGAATAACTCAAGCTAAATGTCAACCAAGGATTTTAAAAGATTGCAGACTGAAGGATGAGTTGAAAGAAACAGGATGAAATTGAATAGTGATAGTTGTTGTCATTAGTTTAAAAAATCACTATAAAGTTTTACACTGGAGAACTGGCCAGGCTGCTGAGGAGACAGAAGGCCCTTGAATTTTGTGAGATCAGTGGGAATTAGGTGTGTGTATTGTAGTTGCCTAAAAACAGCCAAGGGTCATAGTTACAGTTGCAAAGACACAGAACAAAGTCGATGCAGTCACTGCTTCTAGTGAATTCTGCAAGAATGGCCAGGTCACACTTGGCATGTGGTCCTCAGTTCTTACTGACATATTAAAGTGTTTTTATTGTGTAATGTTTAGTACATACAAAAGAGAACATAGAAGGCACAAGTTATGAAGTAATAAAATGAATGTCTAAAAGCCTTATTCCCAGTTTAAGAACTAGAACATTCTGAAAACCATTGAAACTATTTCCCTTCATACTCTGGAAGTAGCCGTTAGCTCTCATTTATGTTTGTCATTTTCTATGTTTTTGAAGAAGAATTCCACCATGTTAGCTGTGTGTTTCTAAGCAATACATTTTTACTTGTTTTTGAATTTTATGAAAAGGATATCACACTGAAGGTAGTAACACTTCATGCCACCTGCTTTTTACATTCAACATTGCTTCTAAGCATCATGTGTCGGCCTTTCCTAGCCAGAGCTCCTCATCTTGACCACAGAACACAGAAAATAATTTCACTGTATTTTCTCAGTCCTCCCAACTGATATGTAAATAGTTTCCTAAGTTTTAGATGCATAGGGGAGAAGTTACCTCATTATTTAAATGGATGCCTTAGGCTGGGCAGTGAGTTTAATTCTCTATTGGAACCTGGTTGAGACAGGCCCAATTGTTAGGTGTAGCTAGAGTTGATTCATTCTTACTGCTGTAAGACATCCCGTTTGTGAGCACACTAAAGTTTTTTCCTATGTCCTCCTATGGATGGAAATTTGTGTTGTTTCCAATTTTTTGGTTGTTATTGGGAACAGTTCTGTGATGAACATTCTTGTGCGGATCTGCAAGTGTACAGCAAGAAAACATTTCTCTAGGCATACATCTGAGTGAAATTGCTTGGGTCTGCTGCGTTGTGCTGGGGACCCTGACAAACTGATGCAAGTTCAGAGGAAGGCAGTTAATAATTTAACCATGTCATAACCAACCTTTGTTTTCTTCATTTTCTTAGGGATTGAAGAGGTTAATGACTATTTGCCAGAAACACTTTCCTACCGATCCATCCAAATGTGTGGAGTACAATGCACTGTGAGATGTGTGTATGGTGTGTAAATAACAGTAAGAAACTTACAGAAGCAGGCTGTGGACTTTCGGAATCACCAACAGGAATGAGGAAAGAAGAAAACTGGAGTTTCCAGTCTCTGAGTTCTACCTGATGTCACCCTTGATTGGTTTTCGGAACTGTGTTGGTCTTTGTAACGTATCTGACTACGAGCTGATTTTTCTTTCTTGCCTTCATTTTAATTAGCCCAAAATTAAGTTTTAAAGACTTTCTATCACAATTTAAATCCGTAGACAACAGAAGGGGGTTTAAAATGACCCTTTTTTCAGTTGATCTGAAAGTTGTGATTAGATGATTAAAAAGAAACATTTGAGGATGGACTTGATTATTTCAGTAAAATACTATAATTTGCATATTGTCTTTTATGTAGTATTTATATAAAATATTTTTATATATTTCAAAAACATGGGACCATTGAATGAAACTTCATAGTCTTTAAATGTTGCTGAACTTTTGCCGTCTTGCGATAGAATTTGAATGTATATAATATTACTGGTACAACTCAAATGTTATTTTCTTGCCTTTCCAAGCTTGCTTTTATCTTCTAAGAACTTTAAATTTTATTATTTGTCATCTCTCAGGACAGATACAATTAACAGGAAATAGAAGTGTGAAGAAACAAAGATGGCGTATCATACCAAACTAAGTTCAGAACAAAGTAACAACAGTGCATCGAGGTTAAGGTGGGACAGTGGTTTGTGACGCCTGGGAGAGTGGGGAAATTGTGATGAGGTCAGTAGACCCAGGCAGACTGTGTTCCCAGCCACACCTGTCAACAGACGAGGAAGGTGCAGGTACTGATTTCCCCACCTGAGAGTCTGTCCTGGCCTTGGTTTTCCACAGTGAGGGCTCCTTCTAATGTTGCACAGTGTCATACTCAGATCATTGTGACCCGTCACTGTGCTTTAGAACCTGAGAGGCCTCTGTTCATGTGGCAGCATGGGTGAGCGGATGCTGCTGGAGCAGGTGGGGGGCGCTGGATAGTGGTAAGGGCGAGGGCTCCGAAGGCAGAACGTCCAGCTTCAGGTCTCAGCTCAGCACCTGCTCACTGTATGACTTTGGCAAGCAGCTGGATCTTTCTAAGCCTCAGCTTTCTCATCTTCAATGGTAGTTAATAATAATAGTCCATGCTTCACAGCCTCACTGTTGTGCTCAAGTGGAATGCTTAGCACACTGGCAGATAAGAGCTCATCAATATTAGTTGTTGTATCATTGTTGTCTTTAGAGGGGAGCCAAAGTCCCTGTCAAGAGCCCTGTGTTTAGGGGTGCTGTGTGCTCACATAACGATAACTAATAATCTTAGTGTCAGCTGCAACAGCAGTAATCATGGAAATTTCACGAAGTATTTACTGTATCTGAGCCCTGTGGCTGCTCCTGCTTTCAGCCAGTTCTGCATCTAGAAGGGCCAAGGATGTGGTGGGAGCTGCATGTCACCAAGTAGGTGGATGTAGATTCACAGTGGCCTATTCTGGCCCCTCTTGGGAAGGTTCAAAAGCCAGTTTTGGCCACTTGTGGTCTTCTGCTGTGCCTAGACAGGATCGTTTCTGCTGGTTACATGCATGGTGGTGGCTGAGGTCCACTGTCTGGAATTGAATTGGGATTCCCTACCTCCCACTCCCCCATTTGGAAATGTTTTCTTGTGATTAAATCAGAGCTTAGTGGAACTTAACCAGCACAAGTGAGAGACAGACTTTCATAATAGGACAGCAATCTAGAGTTTCGTCTTGGGGTCTTATGTAGGACCTATTTATGAGTGTTGTTGAATGAATACTCCTCAAGTTACTTTTTCTGTATTCACCATCAGGTCCCAGTAGGATAGTCCATTAATTTCTTGTTATCTTCTGTTTTGCTGTTAATATTCCACATAAAGAGGAAACTGTCATGTGACACCAGTACCTCCTAAAATTGGTCAGTGTGGTTAGATGGTTTGGGGAAAAAAAGGAATCTGTTCCACAGGGCTGGGCTGTGACTGACCATTTGGGGCTGCCAGGGAGGGAAACTCAGAGAAATTTCCATTTCCCTGAAATTTAAGATCTTCAGATGACTGCAAACAACATGAGGATATATAGAAAAATGCCCTTCCCCAATTTTCAAATCGTGAAAATTTGGTTCAGCAGATACTACATATTTCTCTCTGTAGTTGTTTATAAAATCATAAAGACATACCTTTTAAAATCAGCCACAGTCCTTAGATAAATATATTTCTCCCTTTCTTCCTCCCCAGACTCCTATCCATAAGGGTTGTCTCAGAATTCAAATTTAACAAAACACTGAGTTCCCCTCAGCAGTAAACAGTGCATTTCCTAGGCGTATCATCGCCAGCTGCAAAGACAGAGCAGTATTTGTCTCAGTGTTGCAACACAGAGCCTGCAGCAATCTGGAAGTTGTGGCTGTGATTTCAGTCTTTGGGGGACAATTAGGAAAGTAAAGCTGAGGCCAAAGATAATTGACACATAGAGAGACAGAGGACAGTCCAGGTCTCATAGGAAGAAGGCAGTGGTCCTGAGAGACCAGAGCTAGGCAGGCAGCTGTCACTGAGAATGGAACTTTGTGATCTGCTGTGGGCTCAGAGCACTCAGTGAAAACTCAGAGGACTAGGAAACAGGCTTGATGGCAACATGACTTTTTAATGCTAAGCTCTGTCTTCTGGTAATTTCCTAACCGACTCCAGCACTTTAGAGCACTCCAGGGTTTGGTCTTGGTAAATAACTTAGAAGTACAACCATCTTTTTGTTGGAAAGAAAGTAATAATATATTCAGAAAGAAAGCAGATTGGAAAACACTAATGTTTCCAAATCTTTGATAGATTTGAATTTGGGGATTCATATCATTGGCTCCTTTTCAGCCACATGTGCCTGCCCTCACAACCCCACCACCCACCCCCAGCCACCCTGCTCCGCCAGGTTAATGCGTCTTAACACAGAAGGATGGTAGAACTAAGTGGGGCAGTTTGAATGAAAGGGAACATTAAGCTGAACTGTGCCTCTTTCCTTTGTCTGCATATCTAGTAGAACATAACTGAATGGATTGTGCCTCCTCCCTCCCCAGTACACTCCCATGAAGCCCCTAAAGAATAACTTTATCACATAGCAATCTATGGTATGGTGTCAGATTGGGAGTCTTGAGCTGAAAAGCACTTTCTCACGGCATATTGATGCAAGAGCTTCCAGCTGTCCAGAGCACTAGAGCCAGCGCCAGTTCCCAGAGGGTTGCTATGGGAACACTGTTATGGCAACTGGTTTTCATCACAGACTCTACAGTTCCATTGGCCGAACTATAACCACAGGCTAGTCCTTTAATGGTTAACAGTAACCTTACAATGATTTGAAATTTAAAAATAATCTCTGGTGGTGTGGAATAGCTAGGGAGTGCAGCGTGGCCAGCCACACAGCTGTGGTATGAGCTGACCCCATTCAGAATTTTGGGAAAATGCTCTTTATTTATTTATTTATTTTTGAGATAGAGTCTCTGTCGCTAGGCTGGAGTGTAGTGGTGCGATCTCGGCTCACTGCAACCGCCACCTCCTGGGTTCAAGCGATTCTCTTGCAGCCTCCTGAGTAGCTGGGATTACAGGCACGTGCCACCATGTCCAGCTAACTTTTGTATTTTTAGTTGAGACTGGGGGTTCACCATGTTGGCCAAGATGGTCTTGGTCTCTTGACCTGATGATGCAGTTTGGGAGGCCGAGATGGGTGAATCATGAGGTCAGGAGTTTGAGACCAGCCTGGCCAATATGGTGAAATCCTGTCTCTGTTAAAAAAAAAAAAAAATGTATTTTGTTGTTGGCCAAAACAATTTATCATAAAAGCATTGATGAATTATTTCCCCCTATTGTAAATGTTATGCAACTTGCTTAAATGAATCCTCATGTGCCTCTGCTGGTTATTCTCACTAGTCCACTTCCTTCTGTTTAGTCTCTTCTGCCCTCTCTTTAAGCACCAGCTTCCTCAACTTTTTCTCACAGTGTTCAAGTGTAACACATGATTTTACCAACGAGAGCAGCTGAGAAGTTTTGAGCTGCCTTTCGGTGATCTCAGACTCATTCACTGAGCTTCAGGCCGGGACAGTCAAGAGTCACTCCCACAATCTGCTGTCCTGGCCCTTCTGAATTCCCTGTTTTACAACTTGCCAAAACTAAATTTCCTTTGCTGCCAACTGCTTTTCCTTTCAGACTCAGGAGATGTTAAGACCAATGAGTGTTGCAGTCTGAGCCTGCCTTTCCAAGTTTGGCCATCCTGGGAAGTAGAAGTGTAAAAGCTGTAGAATTTGAAACTTTTGGACCACAACTCAAAGCAAACAAGTGCATGGAGACCCAGTAGTACATGTACACAGGCACGTATACCTGAAACAAAAGCACTGGCCACACCATGTGCAAGGCATTCTTACGTTTTCTATTCTGTTGTTTCTTTTAAAAATAGGTTGGTGGTTATCGTCAAAATTGGTTGACAACTCATTAATGCATGGTGGTCAGTTTGAAAATCACTGATTTTTTATTTCTAAAATTTCAGACTTATGGTCATTTCAGGGGTACATGTGCAGGATGTGCGGTTTGTTACATACGTAAGCACATGCCATGGTGGCTTGCTGCACAGGTCATCTCATCACCCGGGTATTAGCCTGGCGTCCCGCTAACTATTCTTCCTGAACTTCTCCCCGCCACCCGCCGCCCTCCAACAGGCCCTAGTGTGTGTTGTTACCCCTGTGTGTCCATGTGTTCTCATTGTTCAGTTCCCACTTAAAAGTGAGAACACGTGGTACTTGCTTTTCTGTTTCTCAGTTAGTTTGCGAAGGATAATGGCCTCCAGCTCCATTCATGTCCCTGCAAAGGACATGATCTCATTCCTTTTTATGGCTATGTAATATTCCATGGTGTGTATGTACCACATTTTCTTTATCCAGTCTGTCACTGATGGGCATTTAGATTGATTCCATGTCTTTGCTATTGTGAATTGTGCTGCAGTGAATGTACATGTGCATGTGTCTTTATAATAGAATGGTTTATATTCCTTTGGTTATATACCCAGGAATGAGATTGTTGGGTTGAATCCCCGTGGTATTTCTGTCTCTCGGTCTTTGAAGAATTGCCACACTATCTTCCATAATGGTTGAACTAATTTACACTCCCACCAGTAGTATAAAAGCGTTTCTTTTTCTCCACAACCTTGCCAGCATCTGTTATTTTTTAACTTTTTGATAATAGCCATTCTGACTGGTATGAGATGGTATCTCATTGTGGTTTTGATATGCTCTTCTCTAATGATCAGTGACGTTGAGATTTTTTTTTCATATGTTTGTTGGTTGCATGTATGTCTTCTTTTGCAAAGTGTTCATGTCCTTAGTCTGCTTTTTAATGGAGTTGTTTGGAAACCACTGATTAAAGCAATTATTAGTAGAGTTAAAGAAGGAAATGACCTGTTAGATGAATCTAGGGCAAAAGCACTATAGCTCTTTCTTGGTTATTTATTTATTTATTTATTTATTTTTGAGATGGAGTTTTGCTCTTGTTACCCAGACTGGAGTGCAATGGCATGATCTCGGCTCACCGCATCCTCCGCCTTCTGGGTTCAAGCAGTTCTGCCTCAGCCTCCCGAGTAGCTGGGATTACAGGCACACACCACCATGCCCAGGTAATTTTTGTATTTTTAGTAGAGACAGGGTTTCACCTTGTTGACCCGGATGGTCTCGATCTCTTGACCTCATGATCCACCCGCCTCGGCCTCCCAAAGTGCTGGGATTACAGGCTCGAGCCACTGCTCCCGGCCTTTCTTGTTTTTTTTTAACATGGAAATAACACTTGGCTCTCAAGGTTAGTATGAAATTTAGCAGATTATAGAACCTCAGATGCTTCAAAGCGCTAAATACTTCTGTAGCAATATGTAATTAATATGTAATTCTGAAGTTAAAATGAGGAGATGTTTATAGAAGAATTGAGAAAAGCAGCTTGTAAATCATCTCTAAGAAAATGGGCAGTATGCATAGGTGAGCACCTTGGGCTGGCTGCACATTGTTGGATAAAGCAAGATTAAACGAGGTATTGCAAAATAAATGGGAGGTCAGTTAACGTACGAGATAGGTTTGGCTGGGTGTGGTGGCTCATGCCTGTAAGCCCAGCACTTTGTGAAGCCAAGACAGTCAGATCGCTTGAGCTCAGGAGTTTGAGACCAGCCTGGGCAACATGGTGAGGCCTCATCTCTACAAAAAATACAAAAATTAACTGGGCATGGTGGCATGCACATATGGTCCCAGCTACTTGGGTTGAGGTGGAAGGATTATGTGAGCCCAGGAGGTAGAGGCTACAGTGAGCAGTGATCACACCACCACATTCCGGCCTAGGTGACAGAGTGAGATCCTGTCTCAAAAATGAGTAATTAATTATGAGACAGATTTGAGGCAAAAATAGACGCAAGGAGTCTAGTGTTATGCACCAAATGTCTTTTGAGAGGAAAGTGGTTTGGCCCTTTGAAAGTTATTTCCTAAGACTCAGTGCTAAATTACATTTCTTTTAATGTAAATTTTCTTCTTGGCAGTATAACATATACACAGAAACTCACTAGAGTACCACAATATAATAGGTTTTTCACAAAGTAAACATTTCACAAAGTACCAGTAACTAGCACCCAGATCAGAAAAGGTAACTTACCAATGCCCCGGAAATCTCTTCATGTCCTCTCCTAGTCATAGCCATGGTCCTAATTTCTAACATCATAATTTTAAAAAAGTCTTTATTGATGTGTAATTCGCGTACCATTAGTTGCACCCATTTAAAGTGTACAAAGGTTTTCAGTATATTCAGAGTTATACAACCATCACCATAGTCTTAGAATACTTCCATCATTCCAAAAAGAACCCGTTTGCCTGTGTTTAAAATTTGCCTGTTTATAAATGGAATGTATGTGCTTGATTTCTCCGACTCAGCTTAGGGTTCTGATATGTATTCATTCTCATTGTGTGTAGTTGTGGTTTTTCAGTCTTGATGCTGTGTCTCATAGTTTATTCTGCTGATTATGGACATGTGAGTTGTTTCTGGTTTTTGCATGGGATGTTTTGTATATGCTTCTTGGTGAACATATATTTCCGTATTTATATTCACAAGAATGTATACCAAGGTGTGAAATTTCTGGGACATAAGGTATGTATAAACTTGGCTATAAAGAGTTTTCCAAAGGGCTTGTACAGTTGACAGTCCCACAGCAAGATGTGAGAGTTCAGTTACTCTACCTCCTTGCCACACTTGATATGTCCTCTGTCCTTTTCATTTTAGCCCTTCTGGTAGTCATAATGGTATCACATTGTGGCTTTAATTTGCATTTCCCTGATGATTAGTACAGTTGAGTACCTTTTTCATATGTTTAATGGAAATATGTTAAATATCATTTGGATATTAACTTCCGTGAGGTTCCTGTTCAATATCTGTTTTTGTCCATTTTTTCCCTACAGAATTGCCTGCTTTTTTCTTACTGATTTATAGTACTTTCTGTATTCTGGCTACATATCTGTATTGCTAATACACCTTCCACTCAGTGGCTTCCCTTTGTACTAGGTTACTTTTTATGCAATGGAGAAATAATCTCATGACTAACTCAAATGTTGATGTAACCTTTGCCAACTATCTTTGCCCGATAGAGTTTATAAAAATCAAATAATGTGTCAAGCTTAAATAACAATTCTTCCTCTTGTTTAAATGATGTGCTTAAGAGTGTAAGACCTGTGTGAAGAGGAAATTATGTGAATTTTTACATGTTTTTGTTAAATGTTGTATTGGATTCTTTTCATTGGAGACGTGGCTATTTTTGTTTTGCTGCTTTTGGTGTGCAAGTTTATGTGCCATCTATGTGTGGTGTAGATATTGCTAGTTACTTACCCAAATTTCATTCTCTCTCTACTCACAGCCCTAATGAGTTTGGAACTGGAATGTGCACAGTTAAAACAACTTGTCCTACCAGGACCTTTTGTAGTTAGGGTTGGCCATGTGACATGATCCTGCCAAGAAGATACAGATGGAAGTTTGTTGGGTGTGTGGGATTTCCTGGAAAGCTGTTGGTTTTCTAAGAGAAAGAGAGACTTGACTGACATCGATATTTTCTTTGTCCTGTGAACATGATGCATAGGTGCGTGGTGTCCATCCTGCAGTCTTGATGATGAAGTTGTGTTAAATATGGCCAAGCAGAAGATAAAGCTTGGGTTTTTAAAATGGCATCCTGGAAGCATTTTGTGGAAAACTTCAACTGCTCTATTAATATTTTACAGAAAACCGAAGAGATAGGAGATAGAGAGGGAGAAAGAGAAGGTTGTTGGCGGAGGATGGAGAGAGATTTATTGTAAGGAATTGGCTGAGAAAATATATGATTGTGATTTCATCATTTTGGGAAAAGCAGCTTGATCTGCTTTGACTTGTTATTACTTACAGTTCCTTCTGAGATAGCAACTCAAGTTACACTAACGTGGGCCAAAAAGTGCTTGCGTGTTTGACCTTCATAAAATTTTTCTAAAATTAAAAAGCTGAAGATTAGTTTGTCTTAAATATGATAGCAATATATTTTAGAGGTCTCTTTGAGATTTGAGAGCCTGTTAGTTCATCCTTTGATTAGGAACTTATAGCCAGGACTCAGGATAAGTGTGCAGTTTCTGGTCAGGAGAGGTGGCTGTGAGGCTATTGTCTCAGCTCCAAACACACCTTCCATACTCTGCTTTGTCACGAGACTCTGCAAACCACATCTGTCCTTTGCTAGATAGCTTTTTGTTAGGATCTGACAGGAACAGACGTGTAAGAGATTGTAAGAGATTGGAACGTGGAGGTGGGAAAAAGGGAGCTGCCCCTTTCTCACTTCCTGTTCCTAACAACGATGGCACAGCCGTGGCTCTCGAGAAGCTGAGCAATGGCTCTTCATTCCAGAAGGAATAGTAGGTTCCAGGGTGTACTTTTCCATACTCGTAGAACCAGCTTCATCTTGCCACTCAAAGGTCGCAGCATTGTCAGCCGGTGCCCCCTCTTCAGAGCTTTGAATTCCAGCTCTTTGGGATCCTCACATTTCTGAGGTGCCAGTACCAGGAGAGTGGTGTTAACTCCTGAGAGGTTTCACTCCTAGCTCCTGGAAAAGCTCCCACATTTTCACGATCCAGGCCTTGCCTGTGGTTCCCAGCCCTAAGCGTGGTGGCTGCCTACTGCCGTTATCTCTGTGATAACTGCCCCTTTTTTGCCTCCCACCTCTTCACTCACTGGTTGACAGTCGTTTTTCAGCCATATCTCTTAGAATAATTGCTGTGGTCTTGGTCCGAGATAAAACAGGCAGCCAGGTTTTCAGCTCCTGGAAAAGAGCTGTGAGATCCAGGTAGGCTTCTACACAATCCCAAGCTCAGGTGGATTTTTCACTAGCTTTCCTCATCACAACATAGGGATCTCTCCCTAGATGATGTGATTCACCCCCACGGGGAGAGCTGCAGGATTAGGGGTAATGAATGTTTCACCTACACCCTGGTCATGAAGACCTCTCCTTGCTCCCTCCTTCATTCCCACCCTGCAGTTCCTAAGACCTCTGTCCCTTCACTCCTCTGTTTTTCCTACTTAATCAGCATATTTTCAGCTTCCCTTTTCTCTAGTCAGTCTGGATACCATTACCATCATTTCAGTCACCCTCCAGTCCCTTCTACTCTTGCATGCTTTTGTTGCCCTGCCATACCCGATGACAAAACCCAAGCCAGAATCATTCCAGTCTCTCTTCTCCCATGCTCTGACGCTAGTAACTGCTGCTGGAGGAAATTCACAGTCTAAGCATCCACTGAGCCAGACCCCGCCCACCCCCACCCCCCACCCCCGCCCGCCGCCATAGCTCTCCGACACCTCTGCTCTGTCCTGATCCTACCCTGCTACCTCCTTCCCATCTCACTTGGAGGGTGGCCTCAACTACCCGTCTCATACAGCTTGAATATAGAGGCAATCTTAAGGTCTAGTTCTACTTCCTAATCCACCAGCATCTTGTCTTACTTGCTTTGGAGAAAAAGCTGTTCCTCCTTCTGTCATAGGCTAAATCTTCCACTGTCCTGCTTTCTATTATGTTATCTAAATTACTTTCTGTTGTCTCCCTCCACTCTCAATGTAATCTAAGTCTTACAAGGGCAGAGAATTTGTATCTCTTTTGTGTAGATGTGAGGTGTGAGGAAAAGAAAGCTGATGAAAAATCTTGGATGATTCTAAGATTTTTGGCCTGAGCACTGGAAGGCCTGGAATTGCCTGTACCTGAGCTGAGGATGGTCATTTGTGAGGCAGATTTGGAGGGAACAGTCAGGAGATTAGTTCAGGACATGTTAGCATGTTAGACATCCATGTGGGGATGTTGTGTAGGCAGTGGGATGTACAACTTTGAGAAAGCAGGTCTAGGGTGTAGGGCTAAATATAGATGTTGTCAACATAAAGATGGCATTTAAAGCCGTGAGACTGGATAGGAGCTCTAAAGAGTAATTGTCAGTATTAAGAGAAGGAGTCTAAGGACTGAGCCTGGGGACACTCCAATGCCAAGAAGTCAGGGAAGAAAAATTACCAGGGAGATTGAAAAGGAGAGCTCTGGACTACGGTAACAGGTGAAAACCAGGACAACGTGGCATCCTGACGTCCCAGTGAAGAAAGCGTTTCAATGAAGTGTCCCACTTCTTCACACTCCAACAAGTGTGGCTGGCAAGTGATACTAGACGAAAACAGAATTAACCATTGGATTCGGCATTGCAGGGAGCCATTGTTGACTCTGACAACAGCGGGCTTAGTATAGTGGAGGGGATGAAAGCATAGTTGCAGTGTGTTTGAGAGAAAATGGATTAATGAAGGAAAAAACAGCTTGTGGGGATAAAAATTATGAAGGTCGAAGTGGGTTTCTGATTTAAAAAGTCAGTCTTGATGCCATTATAATCCTATGGGCTCTTGCAATAACTGTCCACACTGCTTTATTCTTCTGAACGCAATGCAGGTTCTTCAGCTGTTGCCTGAGTAGAGAGCGACTTTGCTGGAGAATGCAGAGGCTTTACCTCTGCAGCACCTCTACTTTTTCCCTGCCATCGCTGACCACTCAACTCAGGTCCCAGTGAGAGACGCGCTGTCTACACACACTCATTGATCACTTATCCTTGGGAATAATTTTAATCTCTTCCTGTTTAATGCTGGTGACCTCCTTTCCCCATATATGCGGTTGCGTGCCTGTTTGTCTCATCTGTGAGAGTAAGCTTTTACGAACTGGAACTCTGCACCAAATGTGCAATGAAGTGACTTTGTTGGAGATCCATTGCCTGCCTGGTGGCTCTCATCAGTGGTGACTTCACACTCGTCTTTTTAAAGAGTTTTATACATAGAACTTTTTTGAACTGGGATTCTGGGAACATAAAGAGCTGGCTGTTTGTAATACCTTCTACTAGGAGTGGGGTGTTTACTTTGTGTTCCTTAATAATCAGCTGTTTGGAATTATCTTTTTGGCACAGTGAAAGGGGAGACAGATCACCAGATTGATAGGTGAAGTGGTGAAAATTAAGAAGGGGTGGGAAAGAAATGGGAAGAGGATGTTCCTATCCAGTTGCTTTCATGTGATAGAGCTTAATGAGAAGATAATAGGTTAATTTCCTGAGCTGTGACATATTTACATGTAAGAGACTTACATAAGGTCCCTTTAAGTGTAGATGATTTTGAGATGGACTGGTTGCTTCCCCAAGGAGAGGAGGCTTCAGGGTCTCCCATGGGCAGTTTTTAGGATGCAGGAAGTAGAGAACACTCTTGATGGGCTCACTTCCAGATGTGATTCTCAGTGGATTGTCTTCGTTTTTGGCTGCATCACCTGGCTCTAGTGGCCAAGGCTTCTGCAAGGCTTCCCATCCAGGAGCTTTTCATCCAGGGATGCTGCTGGAGGCCAGACTTCCAGTTTTGCTAGTAAGAGATGCCTATTAAGTTGGGGGGACAGGGATTCAATTGCAGCAGTCTCTACTCAGGTCAGCCAGTCACCATTTCTTCCATAAGTCAGGGGCTCTTTGTACTTGCAGTCCCAGTAGGTACTTGCTGTGATGATGTGATTTAGACTCAGTGACAGGGTTTGAGCTGCAGTGTGAACATAGAGGATCAATGGCAGTCACAGAGAGCCTGAGCAGCCTGTGTGAGTGACCCTCTGCATCCTACGTGGAACCAAGGGAAAGCATGGAGAGACTAAGGATGATTCCTCAAAGCCTAGCTTCCTTCAGTGTTCCTTCTGCTGTGGACTGTCCTGCAGGGACGGTACACAAGCTGGCACATATTACACATGGGCAGCTGTTTGCAGTGAACAGTGATGCAAAGGCTGAGATAGTATCCTGCTAAAGACTGATCTCTCAAGTCCTTTTTTGTAGTAGGAGGAATATATAATTTAGACAATATTGTCTTCTACAGTTAACAAAAGGAAACTAGAATGAGGGATTTCGCCTCTGCTGATCAAATAAAGCTTCTCTGTATCATCTAGCAAGCCCATAAAAATACCATCCATTGGGGTTTCATCACGTTGGCCAGGCTGGTCTCGAACTCCTGACCTCGTGATCCTCCCTCATTAAAAATAATAATAATAATACCATCCATAGACTGACTTTAATAAAGGAGCCCCACTGAGGACACAAGCACCTGAATTTACAGATTCCTGGAGCACACACAGGCGTGTATGTCTGACAAAGGAACAAAATCTCCAGGAGGCAGCTGGGATCTTTTCATTTTGAAAATGCTTTAATAAGTGTTGACAACACTGTTTTGCAAAATGTAAAGGTACTATACAAATTCTTAATACAAAAAGAATAAATTAAAAGCAGATTTCTTTTTTAATTCTGCAACTTTGTCTACAACGTACATCTTTTTAATTGATTACAGTTGAACAGAATCCAGTAAAATCATTTTACATGCTCTACAGTCAGTTTCAGGAGCAACCTAATCTTTTTCCCCCCATTATTAAACTAGAGTCCATTTTACACAACTCGTAATAAACTATTGACATGAATGTATATGTAAAACCTTACACCTAGTTAACTAAGCAGTAACTGGTCGTCTGATAGCACCTGGATGGGTTTGCTATATTTAGAACTAAACTAATAATGAAAACAAATTGGAATTTTAACAGATTCAACACTCACCTGCATATAATAAAATAAAAAATCAACCTGGCTCACAACATAGTCTGATGTATGTGTTTCCACCAGTCTTCTGGCTGAAATAGGCAATTTCTTATACTCATCTGAAGAATCCAGTAGGGGCTTTATGTCAGACCAGGGACTTTGCATTTCACCTTATTTTGTTTTAAAGAAATAGGGATATATAAAGAGTTTGCAAGTGCTCGTGTACAATAACTACATCGTTTCCCACCACACTGATCATTAATCATGTCAGCCTCAAAGGACTAACGCTTTATGTACATTTTGTATCAACTGAACTCAGCTAAACAGTAAAACCTGTTTTACTTAATCTCTGTCTTCACTACCAGACTATCATGATGTTTGCTGAAACTGTAATTCCTGCTCCCACTCGCTTTTTCTCTGTCCCCCAAATTGAAAACATAACCCGAGTTTTTAGGCTTTTTGCCTACCATTCCTTGCTTCTCAGCTGGGATAGAATCTTGATGCAGTTTTCTCCAGACTAGATTTCACACTACTGTGCATGGTGTAGAACCTGTAACATGCAGCCTCATCACTTTGTTACCCTGTTGACTTTTCCTCTTGCACACAGTTCAGTCTGATTATGCATGCATCTTCTTTGAGAGAAAGAAAAATGGCCCAATGTATAATGTTTCTGAATGCGAAAGGGAGAAAAATCCCTGCTCTTTGTAGCTCTGACCATGACAATAAAAGCAGCAAAAATATCCCCCAGTGAATCCCTAGAATCATTTAATGATGTAACCGGTTTCTGTTTATTCTGCAGGTGGACACCAAAAGTGTCCTGGGAATACTGATCCCTTCTGCAAGCTGCAATCACCAGTCCAGCCATGCATGGAGCTGGGAAAAGCAGGCCCTGAATCATCTACAGAGACTTGGTGGAGGAGGCCACAGCCTGCCTTTTCCTGGGCAGGCCCCAGCCAGGTGTGTGTGCCCCAGCCCGACTCTCAGTGGTCTCCAGGCTGCAGCAGAGGAACACTGTGAGTATTTATTTTAATGTCCTTCCTTACCCTCCTGGTCTGGTAGAGCCTATGGTTATTCTTGGATTCCACATACATGAAAAACGAAGATTTTTCTGTTCCTTTGATGTTAAAGCTAACTTCAGTTCTGCTTTCCCACAAAACTACCCCCACCCTGGCTCCTGTCCCTGGCTGTCAAATGCCTTTCCAATAGGAAGTCATCAGAGAAAAAAATACCACCCCCCCACCCCCCACCACTTGCGCCAAAAGCACAGCATACCACCTCTGCGGAAACCTTTCTGTGCCATCTTGAATAACCCAACTAAGGTTATTATAAAAGTATTTTTGAGGCTTTTGAAGATTGATGGCTTTCCAGTTGTGTTTGAAGCATAGCTCAAAACACATGTAAACATGCAGCTCCCACACGTTAATTTTTCTTCCTCTTTCCTCCTCTTTCACTGTCTGCACACAACTGTGGTGCATGACAGGAACTGATGATATAGATACACAGGCCCTTTGGGAGCTGCTATTTTTTTTTTCACCCCTGCTCTGACTGTTGGCTAGTAGACACATGAGTCAAATCTTCTACCTAAGGGCATCGTTGGGTTCTTGGAGTAAGTGACACACAGGAGAAGTCGGATCTGAGCTCTTTTGTCACACAAGTGCTAACAAACAGAAAATGAGCCACGACAGTTAAACACTGAATGGATCGCAATGTGCTTTTCCCTTGGTTTCCCATAAAAAAGAAAATGAAACACCTTGTGCAAAAAAAAAACAGGATACGCTTTTACTGGTGGTTTTAATGAGAGAGAACCACTTTTGGCCATTATCACCTTACGTTTACTACAGGTCCTGAAAGGAAAGCAGCTTTGAGTCTTGGGCTTGGCTGAATCCCCTGCTTGGACTGGGGCTAACAGTACCCTCCACGACTCCTGCGGGTCTCTCTTCATGTCCAGATGGATGGCAACTGTGAGTGAGCAATGCCAGCCCAGACTCCCTCGTCTTCACCGTTGCATTGGGTTAGTTTCTCAGGCTTTCTACGGAGAGAGACGTGGAGCATGAAGGGAGAAGGCTGGAGAGAGGACACCACTGTACACGGGGTTGACTTTCACTTGTGTGTAGTAGCAGTTCAGAATTTAAAAGCAATTTCCTTGCAGAAAGACTGTCTTCCTCTTGGCCCCTCTTAATTTTTTATGTTTTTGTTAATCTTTGGCAGCACAGAACTGATCGTGGTCCTCCGATGCATCTCTGGTGTCGAGAGCTTGCTTTCTTATCCTCCCCTCCCCCACAGCCACTCCCCACAAACTGTCTCATCAAGGAATACTTCAGGTGTAAACTGAATATGCCACAAGGCCTCCTCTTGGTGCAGTGCTTGGTTGGCCTGTGGGTGGCAGGCTGGACACAGCTGAGTCGTCTTTCTGGGTCACCCTGTAACTTAAGTCCCCTTTCCGGTTTTCTCCCAACACTACTTGTCCGCAGGAATTGGATGCCAGCCGGCCCCCTTGACAATTCCTGGCCTAGGGGCTGTCATGGCAGGGGGAAGCCACCAAGGTGCCATTGAGGATTGGTGTCTGGCTCTCTATGGGCAAGAGAGCCAGGGGACACACAGTGGGACCGGAACCTTCCAGAATGTCTCCTCAGTCAGGTTTTCAAAGGAGAGGGAATGTGGAGACAGGAGAAAAAAAGTGCTGAGGGCCGAAGCTGGTGCAGGGTGACGGTGCGTCTGGGTAAGGCAAATGAGAGGCAGTGAGGTGATCTCAGAATGGCGTTGAGGCGGTCAGATTAGGCCGGGCTGGCTCACACGAGGGTTCCAGGCTTGGCTTTTTCCTGCCCGTACCACTGGACGTCAGCTAGTTCTGGATAGAGGGAGGAATCCAGGAAACAGCTATCATTGTAGCTCCTGCAGGAGGCCCAAGAAAGGAGATGAGATGGTTAGTGGAGGAGGATGGGCTTGGCCAGGCCTGCACTGAGGAGGACGTGTTCACCTTGACAGGGCTCTGTGCTAATCACATGTCATTCCTGTACAGAGCAGTGAGGCCTGAGACCCTCCATAGTGCTGTGTGTACAGAAGGCCCCCAAAGACCCTCAGAATCCACACAAAGGGGCCTCCTGTAAAGGAGGAAGATGGAAAGTAACAGTGCAGTGGCTCATGAGTGTGGCTGCATCTGGGGGAGCATCTGGGAACTCTCAGAAATACACATGCCTGGGTCCCTCCTCAGGGAGATGCAGGCCTATTAGGGTCTGGGGTGTGTCTGAGCGCTGGGGCTGTCAGAGTTCCCCACCAGGTGATTCTCAGATGCATCCAAAGCCAGAACCCCTGGACCGTGTTCCTCAGGTGGCTTTTTCCAAACCACAGCTCTGAGAGACCCCAGGGCTAAAAAGATGTCACTAGGAAATTTATATTCTGTCCCGGAAGACCATTTGAAATGTGAAGTTTCCCTATAGTGAAACTGTGGTGGTATTTTGAATTGTGTTTGAAAAATTTTAAAGAAATCAATGCTGACTTTGCTTTATTCTAAGTAATATGTATTGTTTTGTGATTATAAAACTGTGTTCATTTGAAATATGTAGAAAAGTCTAAAGAAGAAAATAAAAGCCTTTTAAAACATATTTTAGGTAGGTATCACCAGCTTGGTTGGGTAGAAGTAATTCTTAAGCAATCATAGATATGTGGATGCCAATAGTCATTACGAGGGATCATGATTAGGAAAAACAGTCTCTCTCCAGTGATCCTGAATGAGCCCTTTGAATTCCTCTCTGGCAACGGATCTCCCCATGGGTAGTGCTAGGGGAGTGGTCAGGGATGGGTGACAGGAAGTGACCCTACGTGAACCTAGTGTAGTTCACGGTAGGTGAGTTTTAGGAGCATTTCAATACCAAACACAGATTCATGATTGAGAATAATCAGTCATCCTGTTTTCTGTTTGATTTGCTAACTTCTCCAGGAACAACTGGATGTTGTAAATGTTTCTCATCTGGCCTTAAAAAAAACATGAAAGCTGAAAATGCCAAGGCATCTGTGCCCATGCTGGTGGATTTTAAAGAGAGTCCTGTGCTTGGAACACCAGAAATAAACCAGCTTCACAAGCAAAGTAACAAAAGGCCTTGGATGGTGACCCTGGCCCTGGCCAAGGGTATTACTATATGTAGGTGTTAAGTGGGTGATCCTGGGACACCTGTCCTGCAAACTGTCCACCCTGACTCAGCTGACTTCTGCAATTGTGCCTGAATAACTGAAAAACTTCTAAGGGGAGAGGTGGCTGGGCCCTCCAGGGGGAAAATCCCTCCCTAACTCCATGTGATCCTGGTGGTGCTGTCCACCATGGTACCATCCTCGCTCCCACGGGGGCCAGGGGACAAGGAAGCCAACTGGCCCAGGCCAATGAGAGTCCCCTGAGAGTTCCTGGTTCAAAGATGGCCACATGCCTGAGCAGCTTTGAAACCACAAGGATGTCATTTCCTCCTAAGAACGAAGTTAGCAGGTGGAAGGAGGAGAGCTAGAGATGGAACGAGACCCAGCCAGCCTGGGCTCCAGTGACATCAGCTGGTATGTGCTCTTTGCTTATGCTTGTTGAATAGAGTTTGTTTTCATATGAAACTAATGAATACTGGCACATTTAAGTAGTTTCTTAAACTGTTGATGTAATTCTTGTTTCTAACACAAGCATGATCTGGGTCTGTTTGGGACAAAACTTTAGCCCTAAGAGGCTTTGTGAGGTCTAAGGAACCACTTTAGCCAGTGTTTCTCAAAGTAGTCCTGTGAGATGCTCTGAGGGAAAAAAAGGTTCCACGGGTAAGTTTGAGGACTGCCTTTCACAGGCCTGAAATGTACATGAGACATATAATAAAGGTTCTGAGAAGTCCTGCATTATGCTGTTTGACCCAGAACTTCTGGAACAGTATCACCTATTAACACCCACAGGACATACTTTGAAAAATACTCAAGCTAATATTATAAAATGTAGTTGACTCTCTTGTATGTTGGATCCTAAAGAAAAAGTTGAGTAATAATTGTGTCACAAATACCAAGTACTTTGGTGACAATATAATCTGCTTCAGAGGGACTAAGTCCACTATGTATTGATCATAAAGGCTCAAGGAAAGACCACGGAGATCAGAGCAGTGACGTCTGGATAAGGCAGACGAGGGTAAGGGTTCTTGTGGTGCTTGATTTGGTACATGAAGAGCCTAGCTCTTGGCTGGCCCATGCTGCTCTCCTGCATTTCATCATGGAGGCTTCTGGGTCACAGAATCCACAGAGAGAGCATTGAGATCTGGATGATGGGGTGGGATGGGAGATGCTGGAATGGTGGTTTGGTTCCCAGGCAGCTCCCAGGGGGGCCGCAGAAACCACTGGCCTGCTCCTGCCTCTGACAAGGGTGGAACTTGCAACAGTCCGGAAAAGGCTGTGACTGGTCTGACATGTACATTTTTTTTTCCAAATTAAAATTTATTTACTAAAGGAGTAAAAGAAAAAACCGAAAATGAAGCCGGAGAAGATGATTTATTTTTCCAAACTTGCGATGTTTTCTTAGTGCTTCCCCATTGCTATTGAAGTAAGGCTTTTTTTGTTTGTTTTTTTTAGTCAGAGTTTTGCTCTCTGTAACCCACGCTGGAGTGCAGTGGTGAGATCTCGGCTTACTGCAACCTCCGCCTCCCAGGTTTAAGCGATTCTACTGCCTCAGCCTCCCATGTAGTTGGGATTACAGACGTGAGCCACCACGCCCAGCCAAGGTATTTTTAAAGCTATCAATGTTGCTTCATGTGTTGGTCTCTTAGGTTTGGAGAAGAAACCTGGTTGAGCTGCTGAGCTAAGCCTTTGTCTCTCAGTACAAATTCAATTTTACGGTAATAGTTAAGGAATGCCATGTGCTATGAAAGGAAAATTAATAAGAGACCATTTAGGAAGCATTTATTCTTCACGAATAACACAAATGGGGGCATTAAATAGTTGCCCTAGTAAACTGAAGTCAGTCATTCACTGGAACATGAGCCAGGGCAGGATGAGGATCTAGGCATGCTCTCTCAACTATGACCCACAAGAGTGGCTTCGACCTGGGCAGTCTGGGTCACAGAAGTGGTGACTTCAGAATCTGCGATAGCCTATGCCTATGGGGATTTTTCACTGCAAGAGTGCCCTTTCCCAGGGCTATGCTCAGAGATGTGTGGCCTGCAAAGGGTACTCGCTAAGCAAGGGCCCTCTGATAGCAGACAGATGGCAAATTCACCCACATCTCACTGGAGTTTGTGATTTACAACTGCTTGGCATAGGGAGGTAAGGCTGCTGGGAGGGAGGAATTTCAAAACCGAATTATTACTGTAAATGTATATTTCAGCAGTCCTTTCTCTTCATAGCTTAGCATATTTGAGAAACATGGTTTAACTTACAAAACCAACTGGTGACACATACTTTGGTTGTTGAATAGTCCCACAGTTGGTCACAGGCCAGAGGATGGGCGACAAGGCCCTGTAGAGTCATCTGTCTGTCTTACCTGGTCTGGGAAGGGGCTGCTGCTCAGTCTGTGTCCATGCATGTGCACATGTCTGCATGAGCATGCACTCTATATGTGTGGAGGTATTTCAAGCGGACTTGCCTGCGTTCTCACAGCAGCTCTTTCAAACCTGGTTAATTCTCAAGTTCTGGCTCTCATCCCTCCCTCCATCACCTTTAGCAGATGATCAGCTCCCCCATCCCAGGGGAGAAAAAGTCCATTCTCCCTACTTCAAAAATGTTGGCTCATGACATCATCCTCTCTTTTTCTGGCATGTGGTTGTTGGTGTGGTGGGGGGAGGGAGTCCACCTTCCTTTCAATGCCTAAGTCCCCCGATTCTCCGTCTCTCTCCTAATTTGTTCATACTGTCCTAACCTACTTTTCAAAAGTCAATTTTTTTTCTACAGTAAAACAAGACTATCTGTTTGCCGCCCTTCACCCTTGTCTCTGCATCCCTGCTTTTGTACTTGGAGTGATCTCTCCCCATCTCCACCTGTCTAAGCCCCGCTCCTCTTCCCTCCAGAGGCCTTTGTGTCTAAGTCTTAGAGCACATAATACGTAAGTGTGGCAGTTTCTCATGCCCCTCGTATATTTCCTGATAGGCAATTGGATTTCAATGCCTAGTGTCCCAGTCAGACTGTAAGGGCCCCGGGGCTAGGAACCAGACCAGGTGGTACTGTTTTCTGCCCCTGTGCTTTGCAAATTTCAGTGTGCATTGATTTGCTCAGGAATCTTGTTACATGCATGTTAGGTTCAGTAGGCCAGGGTGGTGCCCGGGATCTAGCTTTCTAGAGATCAAAATGCTGGCTTATGGACTGAAGAATGTGGGTAGGACATGGTGACCCTAAAACGTACTTTGTGGCCAGGCATGCGAATCACTTAAGGACAGGAGTTTGAGACCAGCCTGGCCAACATGGCAAAACCTCATCTCTACTAAAAATACAACAATTAGCTGGGTGTGTGCCTATAGGTACTAGGGAGGCAGGAGAATCGCTTGAACCTGGGAGGCAGAGGTTGTAGTAAGCCAAGATCGCGCCACTGCACTCCAGCCTGGGAGACAGAACAAGACTCTGTCTCAAAACAAAACATACTTTGGGGGTCTTTTCTGGCAAATAGTGTTGACAATATCTAACATATGATGGAAGAACCTCCATCTAAACATAGAGATCCATGTATCTAGAAATATGGCATAAATACAGCATTCAGATGCCTCCTTGTAGAAACGGTGAGATGGAGAAAAGCAACTCATGGGCATTAGGAAGCAAATTCCCCTTACGGTACCTCTATTCGTCAGTACTTTGGTGAGGTGGAGACTCAGACCCATCCAGAATGGGTGAGTTTTCTGTTGCTTCTCTGAACAAAGGAAAGCAGGAGGAGGAAGAGAAGAGAGGTCATGTTACAGAGAGGAACTGACACAGACACAATTGGTAGCTTATTAATACATCGGAGAGGCCCCCTGATTAGACACGCGAGTTAGCAACAAGGCATGCAGAACTTTCAGTCCCCATAACTGAGTCAAGACCTAGTTTGTTAGGCAGGCCGGGCCCTCTTTGGTGCTTTTTACCCGTGGCCTCATTTCTTATCACATCATAGCGAACGGTTTACGTCAAGAACCAAAATAGCTCTTTTGTTTCAAATTTGTCTTGAGTCCTCACTAGTTGTAGATGGTGAAATAGGCAAGTTTCAAGGCCATCTTAAGTGCACAGGACCCTGAGGAGTGCTTGTACATTTCAGAGCTTGTTGCCAGTGAAATAATACAATCATATATTTGGATCTGGTGACACTGGACATGATTCAGAAAATTTGGAAGCTCTAGAGAGGGATCTTGCGATCTGAAGTTTCTTATTTAAAGGAGGTGGTTTAGTCAGTGGAGGGATGTATTACATATCCGAAAGATGTATCCTCCTCTAATGAATTAATCTTAGACCCTAAACCTTATAGAGGCGGTGTGGCCACACAGGTGAGAGCTGGGGTGTGGGTGGTATCTGAGCAAACGTTAATGATCTGTAGTAAGGACAGATGGGCAGCCAGTGCCCAACAGATGGAGAAGTAGGAGTGGGCACAAGAACACTGAGCTGGGGGATCGGAATCAGAGGCAGCATGGGATCGTTCAGTGACTGTCAAACTTGAGTGCGTGGCAGCATTACCTGGAGGGCTTATTAGATGGTAGATTGCTGGGCTCCACCCCCAGAATTTTGGATTTTTAGGTACAGGTGAGCCCGAGAATTTGCATTTCTGACAAGATCCCAGGTGAGGCTCACTCATGCTGCTGCTTTGGGACCACACTTAAGAACCACTGGTATAGTGGAAAAAGACAGGATTTGGGGTCATAGAGGGCATGGCTAGAATTTCAGCTCCCTTCAGCTCTCTGATGGTGGGCCAGGCACTTATTTTTCCTTAGCTATGAAACTGTAACATCTGGGTATTTCCCTTGCTAGAGTGCAGTGAGGATTATATAAGCTCATATGTGTTTAGAAGCTGCTCCCAGCCTTTGAGTACACAGCAAGCACTCAATAAATGTTAGGACCCTTTCTTTCTTGCCAGAAAACCTGGTGTAAAATTGCTACAGATAAACTTGTAGGAACAAAAATGTCGGCCAGGAACATGTAATCCCAGCAATTTGGGAAGCCAAGGTGGGCAGATCACCTGAGGTCAGGAATTCGAGACCAGCCTTGTCAACATGGTGAAACCCCTTCTCTACTAAAAGTTAGCCAGGCACGGTGGTGCACACTTCCCAGCTACTTGGGAGGCTGAGGCAGGAGAATCACTTGAACTGCGGGGGTTGCAGTGAGCCGAGATTGTACCACTGCACTCCAGCCTGAGCAACAGAGTGAGACTCCAAGTGTGAGCGCCTGAAAGGCAGGCACTGGAGCCCATTCTGGAACTGTGCTTTTCTCATGATTCAACTCCCAGCTAGTTGTCCGATTTTTCCAGACGTCCCCCGATGCTCCCAAACTGGGGAAGGGGACTCGTTACTCCTCCAACCAATAGATGTTGACAGAACCTAACATCTACTTAGAGACCATGTCTCAGGGACAACAGAAGAGGCAGCTGCTGAAGGGCCAGGCAGGTTACCTGTGTCTGCCAGACCCTCCAGTCGGTCCGAACAATCTCACTGGCCACAACATTCTAATGCTCTTGCACACATAGAAAGCTATCAAAGAAGTTGCCTTTTGGTTTCATTTATTTTGCTGCCTGTAGCCTCTGATGAAAGGCTTCAGGGCACCTGATCTCGTTTGTGTGCTGATAAAGAACAGCGCTTGGCCGGGACAGAGCCTTCTTTCTTGTACCCTGAGACATCCTACAACAGCAGATATCACCTGCCTCTCAGTTAAGCAGCTGGCTCTCTCCTCCTGACATTCTTGCCGGGCATTTTGAGTTGGCCTGGGTATAATCTGAACTGAAATCAAATGCTATCTGGAAATGTGACTCGAGCAGCACAGTCCCCCTTCCTGCTTCCATCTTCCCACATCCCAAGGACCACCACCTACTTTAAGAGAACACAGACAGTTCACCTCTGTAAAGGCACAGCCAGGGAAAGGAGTGGGCAGAGGTGACAGCAGATCATGGGGCTTCTCTTGAAAGGAAGACACTTCCCAGTGGTGAACTCTCATTGTCAGTTTACTGTCTTACCCTTATGTCACTAGGATCTGAACGTCTATGACACTTTGGAGCGGACACAATGAAGAACATGGAATAAGAACCAGGCCAAAGGCCTGGAAGGAGAACTCACCCAGTCTGCCAGGTTAGGATGTGGTGGGGGCTACTTGGGGGGGTGGCTCCAATTTCACTTGAGGGTGTTGAACTTCTCTGGCTTTGAGGTAAGGCAGCTGGATGCAGATGGTGCAACAAAGGCAAAGAGAAGACAGGGATCAGACACAGGCAAAGGGGCTTGTGACTTGCTGGCCAACACCAACCCAGCGGCCAGAGGTCACCCTGTCCAGGAATGCTGGAAAGGACCCCATGTCAGGGTCTCAGCCTCCCTACGGCAAGGTCACAGTGGGGAACCATCTCTGCATGCTCCACCACCCCCCTCCCCTGCAACCTCTGCATTTTCTCGTCACTACCATGCACCTTCCTTCTGAGCCAAGCTGACCTGGGATCCTAGGTCCCCAGTTTGCCATCAGAGAGTGGCCATAGGGATGGTGACAGCTTCTGCAGCAGCAAAGAACCTGATGTCCTCATGTCCTTTGAGAGGACACCTGAGCAGGGCTCATATAGGAAGAGCCTGTTTCTCTGGCCTCAGGGCATTTTCAGTGTGGCCCTGTTTCTCTCCATTGTGAAGACAGTGCACCCAGAAAGATTCTTAAAGCCTGCTCTCTCTGCTGTTTCAGGCTTTTCATTGCTACTGTAGTGCGTTTTGAAAAAAGCAGGACTTTTAGTAGCTAATCCAAACCTGACTGGTAGGCATTTACTGATGCAGGCAGATTTAGTAGGAAGTCAGTCCTACTTAAATGCATCCTTTGCTTTCTTGGGAATGGAATCTTTTCCATCAGTAAACTTCAGATACAGCTTCTTAAAAGTTTTACTCTAAAGTATGTTCCAAAAGATCTCCCTAATCTCTTTACATAAAGCAAATCTACTAGACAAGCGCTGCAATTTTGATAGAACATCAACACTCCAGTTTGGCGGAGGTATTTACGAATTGCTGGTTCTTTATCTAATAGGGTCACAGATGAGTGTGCTCAAGATGTTCCTGGGGAGGCAATGGCGAATTTCACTGTGCTGTTTTACAGATGAAGGAGGAATATAAAGAAGGTTCCAGGACCTTGAAGTCCATGGAACTCCCCACGACTGCCTGATCTCTGGAGCTTGTCATTTGGCCAACAACAGGGATATGGGGACAGAAGGCAGGAGCCTGGCTCACTTGGGCAGTCAGCTTCTGCCTCTTTCCCTGCTGTCTCCAGGTACTGAGAATGTCCTACAGTTCCCCCAGGATGAACCCCACATTACCTTTCAGGTCACTCTCTTTCCCCTGATCTTTGTCAAATTCCTGACTCAGAGCTCCTCCCATTGGCTTCTGACTCTCATTTTATCCTTAGTGTTAACCATTTCTGTTCTCTTCATTCTCCCTTTCTGTGAGTGCTAGAGTATGTAAATATGCCAGTGCTGAGACCAGAGCGCAAGGCAACTGCTCAGGGTTGGTCATCACTGTTATTGTTATTAAATGTAGCCTCATTAGGGAATGGTTGGTTGGTTTCTTTCTTTTTTTTTACTTGATTCAATACTGCACAATGCTGTTGCTCACAAGAATATAAGGTCAACCTTAACCTTAGATTATGGAAATTTTCAGGCATAATATCCAGGATATTGAAGACGCTTAACTAAAATTAGTTTGTGGCTACGCTGTAACATTGTCACTGAAATGGGAAGCCAGGAGCAGTCAGGAGTTCTGTGACATGCACGGCTCTGGCCCTCTGTTTATCAGCCAGTCTGCCCCTACGTGGGGAGACACTGGCCCAATCTCTAGGATTGACCCAAGCGCATCCCCAACCAGCTTCCTTTGCAAGCCACAGCTGTGGGCTCTCACTTCCTGGCATCCTCTCCTTACTAGGGTAAAGGCGCACCTTTGGTTGGATAAAGCCGGAGACATTACTTAACTTTCTTGGATGGAAGAGATGGTTTAGACCTTGACTAAGCTGGCTTAGTGCCCTCTGGAGGGTCAGGGTGCAATTAGGAAGGGGAGTCAGCACATGCCTCAAGTCTCCCGCAGCTGACAGCAGCGTTCCCGGAGTGAATGACTGACTCTGGTTCCTCACTGCACCCAGATGTAAGGGTACCTCCCGGCAGTAGCCCTGAACACCAGCAGTTCGCACCCAGGCCTTCCCGAACGCGCCCGGCCTCCCCCTCACCTGACGTGGCCTTGCACATCTGAGGCATCCTGGTGACCCTGCTGTGCGCCACAAAGGTGCTCTGGGAGGAGGTGCTGTACTGCGAGCCGCTGTCCGAGGAGGTGGAGCTGGTGTGCGACAGGCGGCTGTGCTCCTTGTGTGAAGCGGTGGAACGCTGGTACCACTGGCGCAGCTCGTCCGACACCGCGGCGCGACCCGCGCCCTTGTCGTGGGAGCCCTCGCGGCCCAGTGATGGAGTCCGCAGGATCTGAGATCGCGATGGCGTCAGGCGGCCCGTGTCGCCCTCGTCACCGCCGCTGCCACCACCGCGCCAGCTCTCCTTGAACAGGCCACCCGCCGTGTAGGAGTTGGAGGTCTTGAACTGGGCCTTGACACTGTAGTGGCCCTCCTGGTCACTCTCCAGGCTGCGCACCACCACGGGCGTGGCGCCACCCTCGATGTACAGCGGGTACTCCTTGATGCGGTACTGCGAGCTGGGCTGGCTCTGGCTGTGCAGGTACACGCCGCCGCCTGTGCCCCCTGCGCCCCCCACGCCCCCGCGTGCAGCCAGGTTGGGCATGCTGCCCGAGCTGGCTGAGCCCAGCGCGCCCGCTGCCCGCTGCCGCTGCCGCTGCCGCTGGCGCGCCTTGGACGGCGAGTCCTCGGCCAGCGTGGAGTAGTTGGCGTTCATCTGCGCTGGGTAGTAGTGCTCCGAGCTCGAGTGGCTGGTGCACGACGAGCAGTCGTCCATGGGGTCCGAGCCGTTGCTGCTACGAGTCCGCGGGGTATAGAAGTCGGGGCTCCCGGTGTCGTTCTCCGAGCCCAGGAGCTTGCCCTGGGACTCCAGGCTGGAGCTTCGGTGCCTAAAGTGCAGTGCGAGGCTGTGCAGTCGCGTGGGGCTGATGTCCACCGACCTGCCAGGAGACGCCCAGGTTGGTCTGGGGGTGGGAGGTGGGGGGGTGGGCCCGGGGAGGAAGGGGTCCCAGGTAGGGCAATGGGGGCCTCCACGCGGGCTCAGACCCCAGCCCAGCAAGCCAAAGTCTCCCTCAGCAGGGCTGTCCCGGGGATCCGGTAACTGCCTGCTGTTTCCACATGAATGGAATTGTCCTTTGTGGGAGGCGAAGTTAGGGTCTCCACCTTGATTCCCAGTGGGACCGAAGCTAGGACACTCACAGAAGGATTTCCATTTCTGAGGCTTTTTTTTTTTTTTTTTTTTTTTTTTAAAGTGGAAATGATTCTGTAGACACAAGGAGAACCACAGAATCATGACTCCAGTATCATGTTAAACCAGCCACCTGGGCACGGTGGCTCAGGCCTGCTATCCCAGGGCTTCAGGATGCTGAAGAGTTGCTTGAGCCTGGGAATTTGAGACCACCCTGTGCAACACAGTAAGGCCTTGTCTCTTTAAAAAAAAAAAAAAAAAACTTGGAAAATTAGCTGGGTGTAGTATTGTACACCAGTGGTTCCAGCTAGTCAGGAGGTTGAGACGGGAGGATTGCTGGAGGCTGCAGTAAGCTTTGATCAAACCACTGCACTCCAGCCTGGGAGTCTATATTTTTTAAAAAGCAAAAACACAAACCAGATGAAATGTTCATATTTACAAATCAGATCAAAGAACAGTCCTACAGAGGCCCTTCATATAGTTTAACCAAATCCTGTCACAAAATCCATATAAATAGACTTCCTTTTCCTGTGAAAACTGGGAAATAGAAGGCTGATGGCAAATGAGATAATTTAAAAATGAATGATGCAGATACTCACCACACCATTACTTTACAATTCATTCTGCTCATCTGAGTCCATTCAGGGCTCAGGGAAGTGTGAAACAGCATCACATGGCAGATAACGTTGCCTGATGCTGGGACTACACATGAAATTCAGTGGCCCTACTGGCCAAGCTCAGGAAGAGGTAAGCCCCACTTCCGACTGCCACTCAGAAAGGAGCTGAAAGCACGCATCACATGGCCTGCAGTGATCTGGTTTGCTTCTTTTCAGAAACAGAAGTTGTGATTCACTGAAGCCTCATTTTTGCATGGCTCTTTGCTCTTGATGAATTTACACTTTGAGGCACTAAAGGAAGTCCAGTATAAATTTAAGCCTCCATAGAAAGATATAAGAGGACCACTGATTAGCGATCACCCAATCCCAGCTCTTCCCATGCTAACCCTGCTAGCCTCTGCTGTCTCTGCTTTGATTAGGAAACCTTCCATGCTCCCTGTCTCCAGGAGCCTGGTGATTCTCTCGCTGATTCCAAGTGCCCTCTGCATGGGTCTCTTGGCTAACGGCGTTGACCGCTGCCAGCCTGGTTTTTTATTCTGCTTCATTTATCCTCCTGGGTTCAGGTTTGACTGCAGCTCATCTATTATTTGGGCCAGCTGGGAGCTGGCAATGCCCAATTTTAAAAAAGAAGGTCTGGTTTGAGCAGGGAGGTGGGACTCACCTTGTGGAATGGACGTAGTGGGGACTCCGGACCCGCAGGTCTGGCGTGGACGGCATGCTGGACTGAGAGTTCCAGTGCGGGAGGCCGCGGATGGGGCTGTTCTGCAAGGAGTTGCTTCCTCCGCCTGCTTCTGCACAGCTTCCTGTGCTGGGGAAGCGCTTGTGGCTGCTACAAAGCAAAGGAGGCCATGTGGTCACTGCCAGACAGACAGCACCTTTGTGGGGGGTGGGGGATGGGTGCTAGCTAGTTCAGGACATTGATTCCAGTATGGGGAAAGCTAGCCCATGACTCCCACCTCGCTTGGTCAGACCTCTACTGTGGTTCTCAGCCTTTCCCCAGCAGTGGGTAGGCATCCTGGTCCCTGAACCGCCCCCCAAGCCCTCTGCAATATGAGACAAAGACCCTCGTCAGCCTTCTCTTTATCAGGCAGTGTGACTGCCCTGCCCTTACAAATTTTGTTTTCCAAGAAACAAATATTGAGCTGTTGTGGTACCCCCTTGAAGCTCAGTAGGGTGACTAAAGGAAATGAGAAAAGCAGAGAAGCAGATCCCAAATGCCTTCCAAAAAAGAACCCTCTCTCCAAGGTTGGCCTGGTAATGAGCTGATAATACACAGCTTGGATTACAGCTGCTTGGCAGGAGAATTCTGCTGGGTGAGGGGGTGGAGTTCTGAACCACTCTGCAGTTGCTACAAGTGGACTTCGACTTGCCATTTCGGAATAGCGCTGCCTGAGATCTCCTAATTAATTCCTCTGGAATTTAACAACATTCAAGCCATCTGCCATCACGTTGATTGTGGGCCAAACCCCAGATTTCCCTTTAAATCACAAATCTGTACCTCAACAGGGTCGGCAGCAGAGGGTGCTGTGAGCACAGCCCCGTGAAAGGCAAACCCCAGAGGGAGGAACTAGGTTGACAGGGATTTTGTCATCGTGGATGCTACTTGGGACAGCCCTTTGATTCTTCCAAAGCATAAACAGAGGCCTCCTCTGGCCTCATTCACAACCCAGCTCACCTGGAATGGCCGTGAGAGGAGCGTTTCTTGACCTTCTCATAGGGCTCATCTAAAGAGGACTCACTCCACATCTTGGGCTTGATGGGGGACTTGTCATAGTCGTTGCGGTGATAGTGCATCTGCCGGAGTCCCTCCAGGGACTGAGGAGGAGGGGGCCTGTTGTGCGAGGGTGGCCGAGGAGGGAGTCCCTTGTGAGGAGAATGTAGGGGGGATATTGTGCTGGTAACCTGAGAGTCTTCTGCACAAAGACAGGAAGAGAGGAACTGAGCCCCGGTCATCCTTTCCACAGGCTGCAACAGAGCCCCTGCCCCCTCCAGCCCCCCACCCCCACCTTGGAGCCACACAGCCAAACCCACACCTTTCCTTCACTCCTGTAATGAGAAACCCTGGGACTCTTCCCCAGTCGCCAAGACAAGTCAAGACGAGTCAAACCAAACCAGGCAAACCAAACCCCGCTGCAGGCGGGACTGCATGGGAAACGAGATGCGTCACTTTTGATTTGACACAAATGGAGAGAAGTCTGAACGTCATTAAACAGCATCGACAAATGACTGCTTCACACCAAACAGCAAAATGTAGTTACTGCTCCAGAGTAAGTTGTCTTTCAACAGACACTAAGCATCTAATTCACTTTGGGAGGGTCTGAGTTTCAGGAGGGTTTTGTCTGTTTCACTTGCTGCTAGATCCTCAGCGCTGTAAATGACAGCCAACACACAGTAGGCGCTTGATAAACATTGGTTGGAGTGAGAAAAATGAATGAGGTCTATCCGTCCATTGTAAATACCTGCCGGGTGGGTCAGGGGCGTCTACTCTGTGCTTTTTTCCCCAGAGCTGTGTATATTCTCTTTTAATCTGTTCCTGTATAATTTTGAAACTGCCTTAAGAAGGAGATGCGCTACAAAGATTAAGTATGAATAAATGATTCCCTGCCTGCAGGAAAGGAATGCTCTCACACGTCAGTGTGCTAGAGGACTGAGAAAAAGCAAATTCAGTGAGACTAGGAGGTCCTGTGAGAGAGGCTGGTCTTGAAGGGGCTTGAGCAGTGGCCAGGCAAAGAGGAGGAGGAGGAACGAAGGGCTTGAAGCAAAGTGTGGAGGCCCCGAGGGCAGGATACCAGCTTACAGGCACATCCGGCCAGGCAGGGGCTGGTAAGGTGGAGCGGAGGAGTGAGGGAGGCTCTCTGGTCAGCACAGCTGCCTTCTGTGTATACCGTGAGCATCAAGAGCCCAGCTGATGGGGGCCTGGAATTCCAAGCTAAGGAGCTGAGATTTTGAAAAGCCACAGGATAACTTTGCAATGTCTTAAGCACAGATGCATCGGGGTGAAAAATGCTGTTTTACAAGTATTCACCAGGCAGCATTTCTAAAACTAGAAAGGAAGGGAAAAAGACTGGAGGGGGATAAACGAGGACTCCAGGCTGGAGGTCAGCATTGAGGAGAGAGAGGAGAGAATGATTTAAACTTCATGGGAAAGGCAGAGATGGGAGCTGGAGGGCAATAGTGCACAGAAGCAGACCTTAAAAACAACCAACGACCTTTCGCTTGCCCCTAAATCCATTTTCAGTGATTCCTCTCATAGCCTCATTCTCAGTCCCCCAGCAGTGTTCACCCACTTTGCACCTACTCCTTCTTTGCCCTCATATCAGTAAAGGAAGGATCCCCAGAAAAAGAGCCTGCAATGGGACCGTGGGGTGCAAAATGATGTGACGACACCTGTGAGGAAGTCCAGGGTCTGGATCTGGAGCACGGGGAGAAGCTGGAATCTTGAATGATACCTCAGAATTACCTACTGACATTACCTCTTGCTCAGGGCACCACTCTGTTACCAAGGAATAATCTCTCTCAGTCTTTCCTTTTCCCTTGCCAGGAGAGACTGGGGTACTCAGAGGCCAACCATAGGGCTGGGATCCCTGATGCTCAAGCCCCCCGTTTCCTTGTAGCCCCATGTCCCCCCCAACCCACCCTGCCTATGTAATGAAACAGACAAAAATATTCCAATGTGATTTCTAACAGCACAGCCAAGGTGACTGGGTAATAACCCGCCAGACTTTCCCCACATCAAGAGTAATCATTATTATTATTGCAATTATCATGATTACTATGACTAGTGTGGACCTTTTCTGTTTTCCATCTGAACAGCCACTTATCACTGCCTGCCTGAGGTTTCCCTACAGGGCAAAAAAATTAACTGCCACTTAATATATTTCCATATAATTAATGCGCTTGCCTCCCAGTGTGATGGTTCAACATCCACAGGAACATTCTCAGATGGTTCTGGGTTTGGAATTCTTACTTCCCCTACGGAGGGTGGTGGTGGGGGTTGGGGGAGGGATCAGTTCTGTTTTTCTAAGAATTTCCCAAGAAATATCCTGCTAACTTCTAGATTTAAGAGTTCAATGGGAAATAAGAAGACAGTTTTCCAGCCTGACCGTGCGTCTACGGGGATATCTTCCCTCTTACTTTCACTATCGTCTTAGGATGCGACAGAGGGTTTGTTCCATTTCTTCTCACGATCCTTAGACCCTCCTCGTGGGTTTCAGTCTTTGGTTTGTGATCTAAATCAATTTCTACCCTTTTCCTCTAGATACCATGAATACTCAATAGGAAGCTATGCCTAGTATTAGGATTCTCTGTCTAAAAATGTGGTTTTGGGCCGAGTGTGGTGGCTCATGCCTGTAATCACCCCAGCACTTTGGGAGGCCGAGGTGGGTGGCTCGCTTGAGCCCATCAGCAAACATGGCAAAACCCGACTCTACAAAAAAATACAAAAATTAGCAGGGTGTGGTGGCATGCTGTATTGTCAGCTACTGGGAAGGCTGAGGTGGAAGAATCACTTGAGCCCAGGAGGCAGAGGTTGCAGTAAGCTGAGATCACACCACTGCAGGCCAGCCTAGGTGACAGTGTGAGACCCTGTCTCAAAAAAAAAAAAAAAATGGGTTTGGCTTCTAAAAATGTAAAGCCTCACTCACTGATGAACTTACGTCTAGGCCACAGGAAAGTCTAAAATTCCAATACACATGGGTTAATGCAGCACCCACCCACTCCCAACCAAACAGGTGGATACTGGGAACTGAGAGAGCTTGCTGGGAGCCCAGCTGCCTTGTGGCCTGGCTCGTGCCTTTACACAGGGCAATCCCCAGACTATCTAAGTTCATCTCTGTTTACTCAGCACTTCCCCCGCCTCCTGGTGGAGTTCCCTCAGCCAGGCTTTCTCTTTCTGATGCCCCATTTGAGACCTTCTGCCCCCTTCCAAAGCACTTGGGGGTTCCAAGTTTGTAGGGAGGAAATGCATCAACCTACCATCCTCAAGAACAAGGGCATCTGAGAGGGAGCTGTCTTCACTGGCAATGTTTCCATCTGAGAAGACAAAAAGCAACAGCCTCTGAGTTCAGCACATTCCTCCAACCAAGCCCTGTCTGTAAAAACAGCATGTCTACCACCACCCCGGACCTTTCTCTTTTTAGCCAGAAAGAACCTATGAGATACAATAAAAATGCTGTTGAGTGTTTCTTTCAACAGTCCCTGTGGCGGGCCATTAGCTCGCCCTCCGCACCCCGATGCTGCCATGTGCCCTAGCCTTTGTGTGTTGTGCCCTGGTTTCACAGAATGCTACAATGCCCCAGCCTGATGAAACCACATCATTGTCCCTGCATAAACCCAGGGCATGTACCAGCGAAACCAAAGGAAGCGAACTGCTTTTATTCTACAAATGCGAAACTAGGGTAGGGACTTCGCTTTGCTCCTATGGCAATAAATGGCTTCTCAATAAACTTTGTCAGTCATTAGCAGAGAAAACAAGCGTGCTAAATACAGGCTCCATCTCTCCAAAGCTTATTTTTATAGATGTCATTTAATGAACCAAGAGAACACACCCAAGAGGGAGACAGTAAAATAATCCTGCCTGTTTCACTGCTGGGGAAACTGAGGGGTAGGAAGGGAAGGTGGTTTTGCTTTCTGGCAACGTGAATCAAGGTCTCAAGTCTTCAGATTCCAAGTTTGGTGTTTTCTCTCTTAAAATAATATGCTAAGGAACGAGCAAGAACCTTAATTACTCCTCTAGCTCAGGTGGGCCCTTGGATGTTTTATAGGAAAATGTTTGTTGGCAACCCCCAAGTGCCTTGGGGGCGGGCAGAAGGTCTCAAATGGGGCGTCAGAAAGAGAGAGCTGGGGCTGAACATGGTGGCTCATGCCTGTAATCCCAGCACTTTGGGAGGCCGAGGCAGGCAGATCATGAGGTCGGGAGATCAAGACCACCCTGGCTAACATGGTGAAACCCTGTCTCTACTAATAATATAAAACATCAACCGGGCATGGTGGCACGTGCCTATAGTCCCAGCTACTCGGGAGGCTGAGGCAAGAGAATTGCTTGAACCCAGGAGGCAGAGGTTGCAGTGAACCAAGATTTCGCCACTGCACTCCACCTGGCTGAGGAAGCTCTACTAGGAGGTGGGGGAAAGTTGTGTGGTCTTGGCCAAGGACAACAGGGTAAGACAGGGAAAGATGGTTATTCCAAATTTCCTAGTGCCAAAGGATTAAATTTTTTTTCTCTCTTTTTAACTAAGAATTCACTTTATTAGTGTTGCACGATGGACTATGAGAATACACAGGAGCTCCAAGTTTGACATGTTGGAATCTCCAGCACGTCACTGCCACCCTAGGATACTGAGTTTAGGTTGCAAATCTGTATCTATCTATATTTATCTATCTCTGTAATTGTAGGGAAATATATTAACATCACATTTACCATGTTAACATTTTTTTCTTCAGAGATGCAGTCTTGCTACACTGCCTGGGCTTGAATGCAGTGGTTACTCACAGGCAGAATCATAGTGCACTACAGTCTCAAACCTCTGGCTCAAGTGATCCTTCCGCCTCAGCCTCCTGAGTAGCTGGGACTACAGGTGCATGCCAAAACCCCAGCTTCGTTATTTGTACCTGTACAGTTCAGTGGCTTGAAGCACATTCACACTGTTGTACAACCATCACCATCATCCATCATCTGCTTGAATATTTTCATTTTTCCAGACTGAAACTCTGTATCCATCATGCAGCAACTCCACATTCCCCTGTCCCCTAACCCCATGGAAACACTGTTCTACCTTGTGTCTTTTTACAGCAAAAGTATTTTAAACATGTGTACACATGGAGGAAAGAATGCTTACTGTATAGTTTCAGGAAGTCACTGACTTAGAAAAGAAGGATTCTAACAGTTTAGGGGACCTGATGCTTTGTGGGTAGACTCTGGGGATTTGCTTCTAGAGTTAACCAAAGGTAATCACCCAAATTCCTGACCCCTGACTGGAGCTCAGGATTCCAGACCATCAGATGGTCCAGTCTCCCCAAGCCTCAGCTCAGGGTTCCAGAAAATCAGAGGGGCCAGTCTCCCGAAGCCTCAGCTCAGGGTTCCAGACAGTCAGAGGCCAGTGTCGCCGAGCCTCAGCTCTTGGGATTGGAGGCATATGGGCCAGCAGGTTGGCAGGGGCTGCTCAAGGAGAGGGGTCACTGCTGCTGTGTACCGCAGCCCCACTGTCCTTCCAGATTTGAGTAGGGGCAGTCAGGTCCCTGAGAGTGTCAGCCTGGGCTAGCCCAGTCAACTCAGCTCAGTTCACAGTGAGGGCTGAGAAGAATGCTACCTCCTAGAGGCAGGTTCTCCCAGGGAGGAAGACAATAGGGATACCAACAGTTTGACTCACATAATCCCTTCACCTGTGTCTGGGTCCACGTGGCTTCTCTCTTGGGATGGGATCAGGCCTTATTTGCTTCATTTTACAAATGGGGAAATGAAGGCACCATAGTTAGGTAGCTGCTCAGGTCATGTAGGGACCACTCGTGGAACCTGGTGTCTGGTTCCTGAGGCCTGGGCCTGGGCATGGGAGTGAGGTGGGGGCAGCCAGGTTGGCACTGACCTTCTATTATCAGTGAAGCCCTCTGGGTGGGTTTCTTCCCAGACTTGATACGATTTTCATTGATTGCATTTTCAATCTCCTGCAGTTTCTTCAGTGCATTCAGATACGAGGTTTTTCTTTGTTTCTTCAGTTTTTTGCTGACATTGGGATCACTGGCTAGGCGGCGGGCAGCCTCTGTGATCTGGGACTGAATGGCAAACTCTCGTTCCAGGCGTTCCAGCTCAGCTTCCTGTGGGAGGGAAAGCACCAGTTTGCATTACTGGGGATGCTAAGCAGAGAGACATTCATCTAACCCCTCTTCTATCCCCAGCCCCAAGGCAAGCCCAGTTCCTTGGGAGACACTCAAGAATGGTCCTAATCCTCTGGGGAAATTCAGAGCCCACAGAGGCTTTGAAGTTGCCACTTCCTTTCCATTTTGGATGTAGGATGCAGCATGATTCTTGAAGTTTCTTTATGCCATTCTTCTCTGTGGGCTTGCTACCAAGGAGCTAACACACACGCACCTAACGCATGGCCTCTGACTCATACACTGTGTGACCCTCACATGCATCTAACCTACGGGGCTCTGACCCACATAGTGTGTCTTTCCCTGTATCTTCACATATTGTGGGGATGTGAGGAAAGACGCGTATCCCCACTCATCCGTGTGTCTTTCGGAAGCTCTTTTTTGTTTTTTTAGATGGATCTCGCTGTTGCCCAGGCTGGAGCACAGTGCTGTGATCTCAGCTCACTGTAACCTTTGCCTCCCAGGTTCAAGCAATTCTCCTGCCTCAGCCTCCCAAGTAGATGGGATTACAGGTGCACACCACCACACCTAGCTAATGTTTACATTTCTAGTAGAGACGGGGTTTCACCATGTTGGCCAGGCTGGTCTTGAACTCCTGACCTTAGGTGATCCACCCACCTTGGCCTCCCAAAGTGCTAGGATTACAGGTGTGAGCCACTGCACCCAGACGCAGGAGCTCTTCTGCAAGCTCCAGCTGTCCGTCCCACATCTGCCTGTTCATGGATGCCTGCTGGGCTAAGCCTGGGCCCTTCAAGGGGCAGGGATGGACAGTGGGTGGAGGTGGAGGCAGTCCACCCCCCATGTCCTGCAGCTCATTGGATGTTCTTCCTCTCTTTTTAGTGTAGCTCCCTCCCACTTCCATCCTTTCCTTTGGCCAAGAAGTGCAGATGGATGAGATTCTCCTTAAACAGAGTTTGGGGACCTGGAAGAATGAAGCTGTGGCTGTCAGAAATGGCTGATGGACCTAACGGATGACACCCAGACAGCATGTTTGCTGCTGTCCTTTCTGCTGACCAAGCCTCTCCTCTGCAGATGCGTATTCACCAGCTGCTGAGGGATGGGAGAGGCAGCTCGTGCATGTGTGAGGATTTGGGGGTGAATGCAGAATCCCCCCCAAATTGTTCATTTTTCTATTTCCTCTCTTCCCTAGTGAAACCCCTCTGGATCAGACCTAGCTCTAAACAGCATCTTCTTGGTTGTGTTCTTGAGCAGTGAGCTGTCTTACTGACAGGGTCCTGCAGGGTGGGCATACTTGGGAGCCTGCAGGAGATGTAGGATGTCTGGCTAACTCCACAGCTAGTAAACCCAGGACAAATGCATCAGCAGCCTCTCAAGGCCAGGGAGAGAGCATACAACTTGCCCCAGGAAATTCACAGATTTCTGAAATTGGATGCGAACTGATCTAGCCTAATAGGAGGAGATCAACTGTTGGCTGGAATCAACACATCTTCCTGTTTAGTGGCTCAGTAAAACATCCTTGCCTCTGTGCATAATGCACCAAGCTGGAGGCCACCATCAGGGAGAAGTTCTTAGCCTGATCTCATTGACTTTTGAGCACTTGCGGTCTAAAGAGAGCGGGAACCAGGAGTGAGAGCAAACGGTGAAGGTTCAAGGGAACTATTTCTGAGATAATAAACTCCTGCCAAATCCTGCCAGTGCTGGCTGCATTTGTTCTCTCAGAGGGAAAAGAATATCAACATGGACTCCTGCCTGGGGTCTTGAAATAGGCAAGTCACCAAGGGACAAAGACTGTTCTGTGAGTGTGGGCTCCCCGGGGCAGCTGTTCCTGAGCTGTCACAATAGCCCTGGCGCCAGACTCTGATTCAGAGTTTTGTGGGGAGCCCAGGACAAATTCTCACTATTTAAATGACTAAGACAAGTCCAAGGCTGAACGCCCTGACCGTGCAAACGGCTGCCGAGTGTACGAACAGGGAAGCAAAGCGCATTTCCAGGGGCTGCAGTGCAGGCGCCTCTGCTTTACCCCTGTCGGTGCCAATTCTAGGGACGCCCAAAGAAGTAAAAGTTCCATTTAACAGATCAGGAACTGTCTAACTGAGCTTTAGTTTAGATTTTTCTCTTTCTTTTACTTTTTTTGAGACAGGGTCTCAGTCCGCCGCCCAGGCTGGAGTGCAGTGGTGCGATCCGCAGGTGAGCATGTCATGCTTCTCAGAGGAACTCTGCAGAACGCCAGCTGCTCCCGGGCTGCTTCCTTGTACAACCTTAGGAAAGATCCTGTGTGGCGACAGTAAGGAAGCACATGCCTCGGGCGTTCTCAGGGAGCTAAAGTCACAAGGTACTGAGGTGTGTGAAAGGTTCGGTGGGACTCTGGGAAGATCAAGGAGGAACAGTATTGGGGGAAACTCCCTAAAAGTGGGGTCCCTCTTTAAAGCTTAAGGGCCAGGTATCTGCCCAGCAACAGGAGAAGCTGAAGTTCCTCTTGAGGGAGTCTCTGATGACCGGCAGGATTTGGAAATACCTGACCTCAATCCCACCCTCTGTCCCCTGCAGTTCCTGCCTTGAGTACGGCTCCCTTCCTTTGAGATTTCATCTCCCCTTCCCCTCAAGCAACGGTTTGCTGAGCGTCAAGAGTGCCAAGTACTGGCTCATTCAATCCTAGAGACACCCAAAGAAGTCAGGGCCATAAGCTCCATTTTACAGATCAGGAACTGTCTAATTGAGCTTTAGGGTTTTTTGTTTGTTTGTTTGTTTTCATTTTGAGACAGGGTCTCAGTCTGTTGGCCAGGCTGGAGTACAGTGACAAGATCTCAGCTCACTGCCACCTCCAACTCCCGGGTTCAAGCGATTCTCGCCTCAGCCTCCTGAGTATCCGTGATCACAGGCACGCACCACCATGCCTGGCTAATGTTTTTATTTTTTGGTAGAGACGGGTTTCACCATGTTGGCCAGGCTGCTTTCAATCTCCTGACCTTAAGTGATCTGCCTGCCTCGGCTTCCCAAAGGGCTGGGATTTTGTAGCAAAAGGCGTGAGCCACTGTGCCCCGCCCCATGAGCTTTAGTTTTGATTGAAACACATTGGTGTATGTACCTGTGTCCCAGAGAACTTCCACTGCAGATCTTAGGAGATTCCGCTAACACTCAGATGAGCCGCAAGCTCTTCGGTCCCTCTCTGAATTCACCCTTACCCTAATCCTACCTACCCCAGGGGTCGGTTTTACCCAATCGCTTTCTTAAAAGACTAAATATATACAGTATTACTTTTCCCCCAGGCTCTAAGTCCTGACCTTTTAAGGCCTCTGTTCAAGAGCATGTTAATTAGTAACTTTGTTCAGAATAAATGTGGGAAAGCATTTCCTGGTGGGGCCTGAAGGTATGTATGCCTGGCCTCTACTTTCATTTGGCCTGAGGCTGGATTCTCATTAACCAGCCAGAGATTCAAGTCTTCACTGTTTTTTTTCTTCCCCCAACATCTGAACTCTCCAGCCCCAGCTTCATCGGTGTTCAGTCGGAAGGAAGAAAGTGGCTTCTCCACACACAAACAAGCGAGGCCAGGAGTGCCCAAACATCCTGCACACGTTCTCCTGGGGATTTGAGTAGCCAGGTGAAGCTACCACCACGGGACGGTGCACCCGACCAGTCTCTCCCCAGCCAGTGTACCCTTGCACCTGATGCTATGGCCTCAGTTTTCCTTCTCTTGGTGGCTTTTCTTCCACAGATCAGACATCAAGCTTGGCTCTGAGTAACTGAAGGCTGAGAGGCCATTACAAAGCCCAATACAGACAAATGCCTATGTAAAATGGCATTTGGAGTGAGCATAAATCAGAGTGGGGCATGTCTGTTTCTTAGAACACACGCACGCGCGCACACACACACACGCACATGTGCACACACAAATGCATGCATGTACTTTGATGCACAGATTCAATGCCGATGCCAGAAACATTCACACGAATGCTACTGAAATGTTCTCCCCAAGCTCAACATGGCTGCTTGTGCTAGGCGCACAGTGTCAGACAAGCAGCTTCAACAGACACCCAAATGCCTGCAAATGCAAGCAAACGAATCCTCCCAAGGGGAGCCACGTACCCACTAGCCAGTTCACTCAAGAAAAGTTCTCAGCAAAAATACTGGCGTTGGGCAGAAAGGAAAAGATTGTTACAATAAACCTGGAAGGCCTAACAAATGGGAAAAAGTAGGATAACGCGAGAGAATCCAAGGACAGAAAGGAAGGACACACCTCTCCTTTGGGCAGGATTTTCTGTTCATCCAGCTTGAATGCCGTTCCTATTCTTCTCCGGACAATGGGTGGTTCCTCCCCTGGATCCAGGGGATATTCGACTGGCAGCTTGCCGGTGAGCTCCTGCATATGTGAAATGGCATTCAGAGCGAGCATAAATCACAGTGGGGCATGTCTGCTTCCTAGAACACACATGCAAACACACACACGCACACAGACGCGCGCGCGCACACACACACACACACACACACATGCGCTTTGATGCAGATCCAATGCCTAGGCTGAAGCATTCACATGAAGCACTACACCTCAGTAAGAGTTCCAGAAAGAAACTCTGTTTCTCTAACAATGTCTCTTACATAGAATAGATGCACTTTCAAAGTTTTTTTCCAAAGTACATTTCTGTTAAGTCAACACAATTACCATTTTGGCTTTCATTATAACACTTTATAACACTTGAATTTCATTATAACACATTATAACACTTGAATTTCATTCATTCGTTAGCTGAACAAATATTTCCTGCCTGCACGCTCTGTACCAGGCAAGCTCACCCAGCCAGTTAGGAGCAGCGTCAAGATGAGTTCTCAGGTCATCCTAACTTCAAATCCCACACTCTTGAAACTGCATCAAATAGTCCCGCTCAAATATCTAAGTTTAAAGCTTCCTTCAAATGAATTTTCACAAGAGGAGTGGTATCTATACAGCAAATCCCAGAAAAGTGCATTATACATAATTTAGAAACGGAGTAAGGGTCGTAATCTACTCTGGCCAGATGCTATAGGAAAAGGCTGTGCTTAAAAGACATTAAACTGTTTAATTTAAAAGTTTTAGTAGAATGGCCAGGCACAGTGGCTTATGTCTGTAATCTCAGTACTTTGGGAGGCAGAGGCAGGCAGATCTCTTGAGGTCAGGAGTTTGAAGCCAGCCTGGCCAAATGATGAAACCCCGGCTCTACTAAAAATACAAAAATTAGCTGGGCATGGTGGTGGCGCCTGTAATCCCAGCTACTTGGGAGGCTGAGGCAGGAGAATTGCTTGAACCCAGAAGACAGAGCTTGCAGTGAGCTGAGATCGTGCCACTGTACTCCAGCCTAGGCAACAGAGTAAGACTCTGTCTATTAAACAAAAAAGTTTAGTAGAAACTGAACATAAAACATATAATCCATGTTACTGACAAGGCTACTAAAAAACATCTGTTGTGTATGTATTTAGGGCCTTGGAAATCTAATTGCTGTAGGTACAAAGACAGTGAATTTAGCTGACAGACTTCCATGGTCAATCCTGGTGGAAGGCTGAGGTTCTGGGGTGATTAAGGATTAGAATCAGGCTGTCTGTGAGTGAGTTGTATCAGGGCTGAACAATGATCAAATCAGTCAGCGGCTGCCCTGCACTGTGGAGGCCAGTCATCAACTGCAAGAAGTCACTTCCAGGGACCAGAAAAGGCTGGGGGACCCACCGTGTGTCTGCCTCCAATGGCAAAGTGGGCACTGCCAGGCAAAGACCAGCTCTGACGTTCTAGTCCAAATCCATGAGGATGCTACACAAAGACTCAGGAGCTGCTCTGACCAGGAAGTTGAGAAGGCTCTTTTCAGGAACATCCGTCAGTCACACAGAAAGCTTTCACGCAGGACAGCCCAGGCCTGAGTGCCCAGCAGGTGGGAAAATCCAAATCGTGAGACAGTGATTCTGGGCCTTCTTCTCTAGCTACTGTGTGCCGAGTGCGTGTGCGTGTGCGTGTGCGTGCGTGTGCATGTGTGCGTGTGCGTGCATGTGACATGAGCATCAGCACAATTAAACCCTCAGTCACCTGCTTCTCCCCTGCTGTGTTCAGATCGTTGGGCAATGACCCCGCGTACTTTATATTCCTCAATGTAAGCATTTCAGAGCACAACAGCCAACTATCTGACTATCAAACTCCCTGCAATTTTCTTCCCTGGTTTTTTCTTTTTTAAAAAAAAATGTGGTTCAAATGTCTCCAAAGTAGTTAAGTGTTTATTCCGCAACTTTTTTTTTTTTTAAATCTGCTTCCCTAAAAGTCTGTCTATAAATAACACAACTATTGAGGGTTTTATATTGTCAGGATTTTATTTTTTCTTTAACCTAGAAACTTCCAAAAAGGAGGGAGAAGTTGTTAAAACTGCCATGGATTTATAACTCTAAACTGTTTGTGGTTTTAAAATCTAGTTTCAATGAAGCTACTGATTTTTTTTCACCATGCACTTGAAGGTATTTGAGTCAAAGTCTTGATTCTCCAGATATTTAATCTGATTTCATGTGTAACTGGAGCTGCATGGCGAAGATATAATTTAACGCTCTGCAGTGGGACCTTGGCTTGGTGCCTCCCTGTATCCTGCCAAATGTTCTCCCTCTCCCTCATTCTAGCTGCCCCTCTCCCCAGCGGTCAAACAGCGCTTCTTGATACTCTGAGCTGAGGGCAGAGATACAAAACAGCACACATTTAGCAAGAAGACTTCCCCCAGCCCTTGAGGACATGGGAGTCAAGAGGCTAAGGTGAGAGAAACTATGGCGGAGAAATCTGCCTGCAACTGACTCCTTGCTGGGTTACTGCCTCCACTCAAGTTACGTTTTCTGGTGTTAGTTAACATTATAAGAAGTGGCAGCTTTGTTTTCCTTCTTTTGCTTTTGTCTTTAAGAGAGTTGCTGAGATTTTTCTGATAACGCATGCTCATCTTGCCCTGACGTGCACCTTGTGTTTTTCAAATGTCGATTGCCTCCTGGGTTTAGGGACTTTTTATTAAAAACAAAATAAGGCTGCCCAAATTATTAAAGGCAGACACCAAAACCCATATTTTTTCCCGTCCTTCAAGCCTATTCTTTATACAAATGTTGCTAATATTAACAGTATCACATAGCGCATTCCCCAGCCAGGCCAATTGCTTTCCTAAGATTTGCAATGGATTTGTGCTAATGTGGTTCGGCTCTGAGCAGGCCCCGGTTTAAATCAAGCCAGACTGTAATTAAGCCAAGTTGAAGTGTAATGTGATCTCACTCCCCCGCCCCTCGTTTCATTCTTCCTGCTGCAAGGCTTCAGTGTTTGGGGGAGGGGCATACGTCTCTGACTTAGTTCAGGAACCTCTTTGACTTCCCATTCTGAACTGTTTGCCAGCAGAGCTCTTTGTAACGTTAGGTGGTGCACAGTCGCTCTCTCCCTAGAGAGCTCCCACCCCATTGTGCCCAGGTACACAATGCAGACGTGTGCACACACACACACACACAGTCACGTGTACTGCATAAAAACATGAAGTCTTCAAACACTTCTAACAGAGTCATGCAATAAACAGAAGAAGGTGGAAATGGATATTTAAACAAATGTACACAGCAGCTTGCAGCAACTTCTGTGAGACTAGCACATGCACCGGCTTGAGAAAGCATTACTTTGCATTTCCTGTATGTGTGTGTGTGTGGTGTGTGAGAGAGACAGGGTCTTGCCCCGTCACCAAGCTGGAGTGCAATGGCGTGATCATGGTTCACTGCAGCCTCAACCTTCCAGGTTCAAGCAATCCTCCCACCTCAGTCTCCCGACTAGCTAGTACAGACACACACCACCACTCTGGGCTATCTTTTTAAAAAGTTTTCTTTGTAGAGATAGGGTCTCAGTATGTTGCCCAGGCTAGTCTCTAACACCTGGCCTCCAGTGATCCTCCTGCCTCTGCCTCCCAAAGTGCTACTATTACAGGTGTGAGCAACTGCGCCCTGGCTACATAACATTTAAAAATGTCATTAGGCTAAGATTTCATCTTTTTTAATGAAAAAGTTAAAGAAACACCAGGTCACAGGGTCTAAAGGTGATTATATATGAAGTGAGATTCTGGTTTCCTTGTTGATCACCAGTGCATCTCACTAAGATGTCCAAAGATGAATCTGAAATACCCTAAAGATGAACAAAAGCCTCCACAACAATAAACGCAGGCACAAAGCCTTGAGAAGATGGTGGCCAGCCATTATCATCAGTGAGGCATCACGTGAGCAGATGCTTTATGAACGACCAAGCCAGGATGAAGGATCGTCATTAGGACCGGGCACATGGACTCCCGTGGGGTCCTATCTGAGATTTTGCCGGCACCAACTTTAACTGGTCCTCATAGTGCTTCATCAACTAATTCTTTGATGGGTTTAGGGACTTTTTCTTTGACTGAAAACAAAACAAGGCTTTCCAAATTATTAAAGGCAGACAACAAAACCCGTATGTTTTCCAACCCTTTAAACATATTCTTTATAAAAATTCACTAATACCAACAGTATCACATAGCGCATTCCCCAGCCAGGCCAATTGCTTTCCTAAGATTTGCGATGGGTTTCTGCTAACGTGGTTCTGCTCTAATTCTTTCTCTGACAAAGCACGTTACAGAGGTTTGGACGTTTCCGACATTTGTGTTGCAGGAGAGTGCTCACCACCCAGATAGGCTCTCTTTTTATCACCACCCTTGTCTTCTGTCAAAATAATCAAATGACATCAAAAAGATCAAATGACATCAAGAAGATCAATGACATCACAGACAACACGAATTTCAACAGGACAAGCTAGGAAAGGCTTACAGCTTCTCGGAGACACAGCTTCTTCAGTTCCTCCAGCCTCTGACGCAGGGTTTCCTCCAGAGCTTCCTGCCTGGACTTCAAGGCAGCCAGCATGTCCTTCTTGGCTGACTGCGAGCTATCTGATTCCTGAGAACCTGTCAATAAACAGTGGGGTTACTTGGCCGGCTGACAGGGGACACACATCTGGACTACTAATGAATTTAACTGGAGCCCACGCTGCGGAGATGGGATTTACCCCAGGAATCAAGGGAGTGTGAAATAAAACAGGTGCTCAGCGCTCTAACTGTGAGAGGCACATTCCAGCACTGCATGGAATTTACAGCTAGGCAGGAGAACCTGCAGGAAGACAGTTTGGTGTCTTCCTGAAAAAGAAGTTTATTTTTCTTGATTATCTTAAGATATGTCACATACCTGTTTTAATTTTACTAGCAAATTCTAATCGACTTTATACAAGAAAGGGGGAAAGAAAAGTACATGCCAGCAATTTTAATATGTATTATTTATTTTGAGACAGTCTCACTCTGTCGCCCAGCCTGGAGTACAGTGGCACTCTCAGCTCACTGCAACCTCTACCTCCCAGATTCAAGCAATTCTCGTGCCTCAGCCTCCCGAGTAGCTGGAGTTACAGGCACCCGCCACTACACCTAGCTAATTTTTGTATTTTTAGTAGAGACAGGGTTTTGCCACATTGGCCAGGCCGGTCTTGAACTCCTGACTTCAAGTGATCTGCCCACCTCAGCTTCCCAAAGTGCTGGGATTCCAGGCGTGAGCCACTGTGCCCAGCCGTAATACATATTTAAAACGTTATTTATTTTAAATACTTAAAATAACGTTTTAAAGTTATTTAAAATGCTTATTTTTGCTTAGTGCAAAGAATGCATGTTGATCATAAAAACTGAAAATGCAGTTAGGTACTGTTATGCATTTTCTTTTGGCATTTTTCCCTAAGCACATATATTTAAAAAGTAAAATTAGAATGTTATTGTATTTTTTAACTTCACATTTTGTATCATGGGCAAATTCCCTCCTAATAAAAGTTATGCATATTTTAACATGCTTTTCCTGGGTAAAACGTGATGATTTCAATAGCAGAGTGCCAGATAGGAAAACTCTGCGGAAGGCAATCTTCAAACCAAACAGAAGGAAAATAAGCTGAAATGCCAACCGGAGGAATTTAGGTTAGACTAAAGGAGTAATTTCTGGACTGCCAGTGTTTGGATTGTGAAATAAGTTTCCTGCAGTGAAACTATTATGCTTTTTCTACCTTGATGGCTTAGAAAAGGAACACTGACTCTCTACAAACGGAAAAGCTGATTATAACTTCACTTTGCATGCCCATGGTGAGCAGAAGTGTCAGAAATGGACAGGTGTTAGTGGGTGTGCATTTCAGGGGCTCCCACCATGCCACTGACAACTGCATCAAAGAACTTCAAATACCTAGGGAGATTAATCTAAGATGAGCAACACCTCTACCATGAAAAGTATCCCAGTCTGCTGAGAAAAATTAAAGACCTAAGTAAAGAGAGAGATACTGTGGTCAAGGATTAGAAGCCTGATGTTGTGGAGATGTTCATTCTTCATGAATTAAACAACGGAATCAGTGTAACCCCAATAAAACCTTGGCAGGATTTCTTTGCTAAGAGGGAGAAAAAATTGTATTTCCATAGGAAACAACAGAAGTTTTGGACAATTTTAGTAAACAGTTGACAGATGTGAGAATAATCTAGTCAGAATTCCCAGAATCAATAGTTCTGTTTCTTCCAATGGTAGAAAAGGCATCGCAAATCGTAAGGCTAGAAAGAACTGTGCCATGGTGTCAAACAACTCTGCTTTACTTAAATTGTCCCATAAGTATACTATTCTCTTTTATTTAAAGTCTCTGAGCAGAAAACCTGTATTCCATCAATTACCATACATATAGGCTCTTACAACCCTAATCATCAAGAACTCTCAATGTCTAAGGACATTTTGATTCTGACATGGATTTTGTTCTTTCCCTCCTCTACTCAATTTGAGCTTGAAACAGAGAATACATCTATCACCACAGAAACATACTATTTCTATGCCTCCAAAGCAGCTAACAAATATTAGTTTGAAGGAACAACCTAATCAAATGTTCTCAGTCATATGCTTGGATGCTATAATTTTTGTCTCCTCTTGGTAACAAAAATCTAACACCTGTAAGTTGTTCCACTGTAGAACCTATGTTCCAATCTTTGACTTATGTTTGTTGTTTTTTTTTTTTTTTTTTTTGAGATGGAGTCTTACTCTGTTGCCAGGCTGCAGTACAATGGTGTGGTCTTGGCTCACTACAATCTCCGCCTCCCCAGTTCAAATGATTCTCCTACCTCTGCCTCCTGAGTAGCTGGGATTACAGGCACCCACCACCACACCTGGCTAATTTTTGTATTTTTAGTAGAGTCAGGGTTTTACCATGTTGGTCAGGCTGGTCTTGAACTCCTGACCTCATGATCCACCTGCCTTGGCTGTTTGTAGCTCTTTCCTGGATTTTGATATACTTTAGTTGCAGGTCTCCAAATGCAACTGCACACATGAAAGCTTCATCCTTACCAAAAATCCAGGACCTCATGGTTCTCATCTACTAAATCCATATAGCATCATATTCACACAGCACATCACAGGACATTAATGCAGGTTCCCCTTTTTGAAATGGTTCAGGTTCTCTCCCTCTGTAAGCTAATCACCCTGTGTTTACCAGTCCTCAGTTATCTCTAGTTTATGTCCCTCCTAGGTTACATGGCTAAATCATTGGGACTCTTCATCTGGTTCTCTCAGTAACAGTGGTCAATCACATTTGGAGACTCAGGAACATTGACTGAGGTACTGTCTGCTTCATCCCGGAAAGAATCAATAAGAATGTAAAATAATACTGGAAGGAAGTCAGACTCTAGATTTAAAAAACAGGCCTAGAGAAACTTGGGTCCAAGAAGATTAAAGGATTTCTAGCTCCAGTGAAAAATTCATTGTTTTCCCTTTCACCCCTGCCTAACCTTTCAATAGGAAATGATTTATTAAGTCCAATCTTAGAATTAACTATTCAGGAATGACACAAATCACAACAATATGAATCTCAAGGGAGGTAAAGCACACAATTTTTGGATGATCATGTTGCTAGTTATGGGATTAGTTAAGATTTGGCCCTGAGTTCCACGGCTCATTAATGCTACCCAAATTATTATCATTTACAATAATTAGCCTAGATTCCAAGCCCACAGAAAATAGGCAAGAAAGTCTTGGCAGACTCCACGGCTCAAGAGTCCCTCTCTGTACATGGTAGCATTAATGCTGGTTGGCTCTGTTTCATGCCATTAGCCTTGGAGTTACTTCAGGGCAAAGATGGTGCCTGGGTACCAAGCGAAATCCCTGCAAAGTCCCTGAGCCAGCCTGCCCTGGATATGCAGATTTCCACTGTAGTAGTGGTAACTGGATGGTGGATAGAGGGTAAAACAGATCTGGGTTTGACAGTCAAAACCACTCACTGGATGTGTGTGGCCTTGGGTAAGTTACCTGCCCTCCTTAATTCATAAAGGCTGAATGAGAAAACATATCTCCAGCACTTAGCACTGTGCCTCGAATAGGTTAACCCTCAAACTAGGGCAGGTTGAACATGAGTGTGTGTATGTACACACACTCACACACACACACACACACATGCACACACACACACACACACACACCCAGTAGAATTAGAAAGAGAGAAATCATTGCAACTGCCTCCTCACTGTTGTTTAATGAAGAATCAGTCACAGAAAAGAGCTTCCTTATTCAATTTTGTGAAACACTTGAGGTCCAAAGTTCACCTTTAGAAAGCAGCAGTACAGAACTAGGCAAGATTTTCTTTTCTTTAAAATTTTTTTTTTTAACTGACACATAACAATTGTATGTATTTATGGGGTACATAGAGATGTTTTGGTACACACAATGTATAGTAATCAGATCAAAGTAATTAGCATACCCATTATCCAAACATTGATCATTTCTTTGGGTTGGAAATACTCAATATCCTCCCTCTAGCTCTTCAAAGCTATATAATACCCTACTGTTATCTACTATCATCATACAATGATATAGGACACCCAAACAAATTCTTCTTACCTCACTGTAATTTGTGTCCTTCAACAAATCTCTCCCTATCCCCTACGTTCTCTACCCTTCCCAGCTTCTGGAACCTTCTGTTCTACTTTATACTTCTAGGAGCTCCACTTTTTAAAAATACACAGTGTTCACAGATGATGCTTCCTGAGTTCCTGGGTTTACAGCTCCATCATTGAGGCAGCTACGGATGGAGGTGGAGGTGGAGGTGGGGTCAAGGAGGTTCTGTGGCTATTCTTACACAATTCCACTTCACATTCCTCAAAACAGCAGCTCCCTGAGAACCTGCTGCATGTATTCAGGGTGTCCTATTGTAATGAAAAGAGGTTCCCACTGCCTTTTTTGTCATTAAAGGCAATCCACTGTTCTGGGGCAAGGGCTCAGAGCTCTCACAGCTGCTCTATCTCAGAGCTTGTGTGTTCTGTGCCTCTGGGCTGCTCCCTGCAACTAGGCAAATGTGGCCACCAAGCGGAGAGGTGGCCAAGTGTCCAGGGACATGTGCACACTAGGAACATTCCACAGAAGTGGCTCAAAGGGCATCAGGAGGAGGAGCCCAAACTGCCCTCTAATGTTGACCTGCCTTCTCATCTCCCCGACAAAGGCCCACTAGGTATCCCCTGACCCAGCAGGTTGGTTTTAAAAGGGAAGAGGAAAGAAGCTGCCAGACAGGGAGAAATCAGGGAAGTTCACTCTTGCAGGCTGCCTTCATGCCCTCAAGTGACAGAATGACTTCACGAAGAAACTGAGGCAGGGTGGAACCTTAGGGCTCAGGGAAATGGTAATCTTGAAAACTAAAAGCTGGCTCTGGTGGCTCACACCTGTAATCCCAGCACTTGGGGAGGCCAAGGAGGGAGCACATCCCTTGAAGACAGAAGTATGAGACCAGCTGGGGCAACATGGTGAGACTCCATCTCTACAAAACAACAACAAAACGTAACCAAAAATTCTAATTTCAAATCAGCACTTAGACTTCTGCTGATTTATCCATTTCCAGTAATTTGAACACATATCTGCTTTTGCATGTGCAAATCTCTTTGAGGTTGGGTTTAGCCCCTTAAAAATTAAAAAAAAAAAAAAAAAAAAAAAAGATCTAGGCTGGGCGCAGTGGCTCATACCTGTAATCCCAGCACGTTGGGAGGCCGAGGTGGGAGGACTGCTTGAGGACAGGAGTTCGAGACCAGCCTGGCCAACATAGTGAGACCACCTCTCTACTAAAAAAAAAAAAAAAAAAAAAAAAATTAAAGGATATAAATCTGCTATCATGGAGAGGGCAGTAACTGATAGGAAAGATACCTGGATTTTCATCACATATCTGCCATTAAATGGTGTAAGGCCTTGAGTTACTAACCTCATGGCCCCGTCTATAAAGTGACCAATTGACCAATCTCTAAGATTCCTCAAACTGAAGATGCTATTACTCAATAAACAGCTCACCCGGCTAGTCCCTCTTGCTGCTGGCAGTCATTTTTGCAATTTTGACAATAGGAACCTTATACACGGCTCAATCCTCCCCCGGGTTTTTCGCTACCATCCCAACCTCTAGCCTTCTGCCAACTCTGCTCTCATTTCAGTTACTGCTACAGCCTCTCCTGGGTTGGAAGCATGTGTGTCATTATCAACCAGTGCCTAAAGGACTTACCTCTTCATCTTATCAACATGCTGAAGCAAATATTTGTACACTCAAATGCTGAACAGAGTTTAATCTGAGCTGTCTCTGGGACTTATGAAGTGGAAGATGGATGGAACCTCTTGACTGTAGGTAGAAGAGTGAGATTTCAGATTTTATTGATTGGAAAAACAGTGCTACCTGGAAAGGGCTGTCCAGGTTTAATGAGTTGGTCAGGACTCCAAGGAAAAACAGAGGTGATCTCAATACTTTTTTTGAAAGATACACATAATACACAAATATATAGGTACAATTTTGGTAAAGTTTCGGGCAACACTCAGATTCGTAAGAGTATTCTGAATGTTCTTTGGAAAACACAAACTGGTATTGTACCCTCCTATAAAGCAGAAGCGTACAGCCAGTGGTTTCGAGTTAACAGGGCTGGGTGTGCGTTCCAGCCCTGCTGTTTACCAGCCACGGGGACTTGGGAAGGCCACGTAACCTCACAAAGTCTCAGTTTCCTCCTCTATAAAATGGGAATTAAAACAGGACTTCTTCAAAAGTTGGGAGAATTAAGAGAGACAATGCTTGGAAGAGAGGTCAGAATATATTAAGTGTTACATAAATACTAGTTACTTCTTCTGTTTAAAATCGAGGCTGGGGTGGTAGCTCACACCTATAATCCTAGCACTTTGGGAGGCTGAAATGGGAGGATTGCTTGAGGCCAGGCATTTGAGACCAGCTTGGGCAACAGAGCCAGACCTCATCTCTACAAACGTTTAAAAAAATTAGTAAGGCATGGTAGTGCATGCCCGTGGACCCTGCTACTCCAGAGGCTGAGGTGGGAGAATTGCTCTAGCTGGGGGTATCGAGGCTGCCGTGAGCTGTGACTGCACCACTGCACTCCAGGCTGGGAGACAAAGCAAGACCCTGTCTGAACCTCCCCCACTCCCCACCAACACACACCGTTCCTAGCCCTCACTAGGAGTCAGCACCCCAATTCAGAGCGCTCCAAAATGGAGAAGAGAAAGTATATTTAGCGGACAACCAAGGAGACGTGGAATGCTTGTAGACATACCACCCACAGTGGCTGCATCAAGTCAGGGAGCTCAGGAGGAGAAGGGAAAGGAAATGGATTTTTATGGAACTCCTAAATAGGAGCTTCCTACCTGCTGCACAGAAACATCACCCCCATTTTCATAGCAGAGGTCACAGGGGCATAGGGAGGCTGAACTGGGAGTCTAACTCTGTGGTTCTGTCTTGCATAAAACTCCACACGGGGAGGAGCTTTCTGTCTTGGTCCCAGCTGGGATGCCCTAGGAAACCTGTACAGAAGGCAGTCACATCACCTCCCCAGCTGGGGCTCTTTGCATGACAGTGCAGGAATCAAAACCTAAGAGCAGGAAGCAGGAGATGGAGGCAGGGGCTCTTCGGATCTGCCAACAAATAACAGATGCCTCTGGATCCCCTTCCATGTTTGAGGTGGTGTTGGGGAGACAGGAACAGCAGACACACATCCAGCACTCAGAGCTGCTCGCCAGGAGGCAAAAGACAGCCAGCCACAAGAATAGGCCGGGTGCGGTGGCTCGTGCCTGTAATGCCAGCACTTTGGGAGGCCCTGGTGAGAGGATTACTTAATGCCAGGAGTTTGAGACTAGCCTAGATAACATAGTGAGACCTCGTCTCTAAAAATAAAAAAGTAAAAAAATTAGCTGGCTGTGGTGGCGCGTGCCTGTAGTCCCAGCTGCCCGAAAGGCTGAGGCAGGAAGATCTCTTGAACCTGGGAGTTTGAAAATACAGTGAGCTATGATCACACCACTGCACTCCAGCCTGGGTGACAGAGTGACACCCTGTCTCTAAACAAAGAGACAAAAAAGAATGAGATGGGTAGGAGGTGCTATAGAAGGGGGAACTCGCACCCGGGAGCTAACTGGGTAATTATCCTGGACTGCAACTGGTCACATCTAGCTGGGATTTTTTTTTTTTCTTTTTTGAGATGGAATCTTGCTCTGTTGCCCAGGCTGGAGTGCAGTGGCATGATCTCAGCTCACTGCAACCTCTGCCTCCTGGGTTCAAGTGGTTCCTTTGTCTCAGCCTCCTGAGTTGCTAGGATTACAGCATGCTACCATGCCCAACTAATTTTTCTATTTTTAGTAGAGATGGGGTTTTACCATGTTGGCCAGGCTGGTTTCCAACTCTTGACCTCAAGTGATCTGTCTGCCTTGGCCTCTCAAAGTGCTGGGGTGACAGGCGTGAGCCACCGCGCCTGGCTGGGTGATTTTTTTTTTATTGCCTCTCTGAGGAGGTTAAGCCTGCCTCTTAATAACTGTTAGGAAAACAGAGTATCAGGTCAGCTCTCCAGCAAAAAATCTTTCCTCCCAGTTACTGGAAGGAAAATATCTACTCGAATGATACTAGACTGAAGATAGAATCCGTTGTTTCTGGCGAATTTATGACCACGTTTCAATCCTAATCCAAAGGATTTTTATTGAACCAGGTCACTAATTTGGCCAACAAGGAGGACAAAAAGAGATGATCCTAAAGAGACAGTTCCCAACCGAGCAGAGAGAGATCTAGTGACTCACACCAAGTCAGAAAGTCATTTTTGGGGGTATTTGGAAATCTGTGAACTTCCCAATGCTACGGACATTGTTTGAGACCCTGGAGACTGTGCCTGTGTCACTGAGGGTTTCCCAGTTTCCAGCTGGGGAAGTCCAGACTCCAGCTGGGGGACAGCTGGGCGTGGAGGGGCGGATGTGGAGGGAAGGCCAGCAGCACAAACAGCAGCTCTCCTCCCAGCCGGCGGACGCATGGAAGGGCAACCTCATCCAGCCACAAGCCAGAAATGCTCCAATTGTTCAAAAGACCCCCGGCGACTCAGCACCGGACATGAGTGCACATTCTGCCCAGAGGACGTTGTCAGGAGCCACGCATGGCTCATCCGTTTTAGACACAGAGGGAGTACTGATGAGCAGACACTGATTTCAGAAGACAGAGAAGGGGCGCTTTCCTCTCTAGAAGGAGGGGAAACTTCGAGGCAAACAGTGCTCCAGAGAAGAAAGGAATCTGCTGCTCAAGAACTAAGGAAGGGAAATGACAACCTGTCTCTTTAGATTTTTAGGGGGGAAAAATGAAGAAGGCATATCCCCAGCAGATCAAGAAAAGCGGTAAGGAAAAGTTCTGGCAGATACCCCAGGAATAAATATAAGGAAAAGGTTAGAACTCTTCTTTATGATAAAAAGATATTTATTTCCCTGACAAATCCTCAATGATGAATTCCTGACATAAAAGATGTCTTAGGAGACCTGGGGAATAATCCCACATTGCAGATTGCGGGATAAACGTGTCATCTACGGGGACCATGGCAGAGAATTAAATGTGATGCTCGACATGAAAAATTCATGCTTGGAGAACTTTTCATCAGGCTCAGAAATTTTAGAAATAAAATAGTTCATTTCAGAGAGCACTGAAACTGAAGCTCTTTGAAAAGCAAGCGCCTTTTGAGGGTGGCTGGGAGCCTCTGGAATAGCTCTGCTTTCTGGCTAAAGTCCATGGCTCACTGGCAGTTGGTGAAGAGTGCAAATGTAATTTACCAGAAAGAGAGGGAAAGAGAAGAGAGAAAGAAAAACAGAGAGAATAAAAACTGAACAGGCAATTTAAAAAATTGTCAGCATCCAGTAAAATATCCAGTTGAAACTATGGTTTGTAAATGCTACAGTTTCCATTTCTCAGGCTGTGAAATGAGTGAGCTGACCTATCTCCTGGCTCTGAGCTTGGGAGGCTATTGCAATGCCAACGTTTGCAGATTAACTGCGTATTTCAGTGACCCGCGTTCTGTGCTCTCAGCAAAGGAGCACTGGAACAGAGGGCTGCCCTAAATGGGAACAGAGAAATGCTCGTGGGACGTGAGAGTGATATCTCATTTTCAGTATTTAAAATTTCATCACAGTCCTACCCACTCAGGAGGCTGAGGCAGGAGGATCACTTAAGCCCAGGAGTTTGAGGCTGCTGTGAACTAGAATTGCGCCACTGCACTCAGGGGGACAGAGCGAGACCCTGTCTCAAAAAAATTTTCATCATTGGAAAGTCATTCATTTAGGTTACATGTTGTCATTCTGTCCTGGTTCTCTTTAGTGGGCAAATGCTCCTTTATTAGTAATACCTGAAGGCATAAATGACTTTGTTTTTATTTCCCTCAAAATAAGAGCAGAAAGGGATAACTATTCTGTCTCCTTCTCAATTTTGACTCAGGTCAGTCCTGCTCAAACAAATCCAGAACCACTCATCCCCCAGAAAGAGATTTCACAGCTCTCTGGGCACACGGTCCAGCATAAACAAACCCTGGCACACTCTGACTCTGGCTGTGCCCTGCGGCAGAGCAGAGGCTATGACCAAAATTAAGGCCCCTGGAATCCTGTCCATTGTTAGACCTAAAAGGAGAGGCCACAGGCCATTGGTAACAGAGAACTTTAAAAGGCCAGACAGAGAGAGAGAGGTGGGGAGGAGGAGGAGGAAGGGAGAGAGAGGAAAAGGGTAAAGACAAAACCAAAAAACGTCGTGTGGTTTATGGCAGTGCAAGACACTGAACTTTGAGCTGAATACAGC